CCCCATCCAAAAATATAAGAAATGAATAAGCCCCCAGGGGACTAATTCGAGGATTTACGGTATATATTCGCCTCATATCCATTTACCGCCCGAATCCTCCGACGAACTAGAGTCATAAACTTTCCGTTCATTCTCTAGTTCATCAGAATGTTCAGTGCTACTTAGGTCAGAGTCTACCTGGTCTGTTGTTACCTTGTATTCGTTTCTAGCGTTGATTTCGTCGACACTACGGCCCTATTTCGGTACCTCTGTACATCTCTTGCATTTCTTTAGAGCAGAGAGGTTTTCATTGCCACTTTCGACATCTGCCCCAACACTTTCTGAAAATCGGCTCTTGTTTTTCCGTCTTGACTTCAAAGAAGGAGGCAGCAGGGGGCACGTGAAGCAAAAAGATTTCAAGGAAGACTCTTCAGAATACCCTTCCAACCACAACTTTCGAAAAAAAGTCTTGACGGATAGTTCTACGCAACGCAACCAGCAGTAGGCTATCTTCTTGGAATGTGAATCAGGAAGTAATTTAATGTTAGTTTCATTTTGTTGTACATTTTCAGTCTTGTTTCCACATAGCTTCTCTTGACCTTGCCAGAATACATTACCATTTGAACAAACTTCTTAAAATCTTCTATATCGCTATCACTAACCACTTTTTCTTCTCCAAGGCTGTCAAGCAGTTCAAGGTATCGCGGGCTTTTGATGACTGTTTTCAGCAACCTTACCTTTCCTACGTTGCGGAAATAGGATTTAGAATTACACCCAGATAAAGCATGTAAAGCCTGTAGATTAATGCAAACATCCCTTCCGAAATGGGAACCATTTACGTTTTACATGGAGAAAAGCAAAAGCCCAATGTGTCTTCTTTCAGAAATCAGTCTTATAAAATCAATTTGCTTCTAATTTCGATACAGGAGATCGTGGCATTTAAATCCTTGCAATATGTTTTGGTAATAAACTTCTAAATGACCCATTGGCCCAGGTTCACCAACTTATACCCAGCTTCAGGAGCAACAAATTTGATAAGGCTGTGCATCCGTGCTCGGTACGTTGGCATCGGTTTGATGGAGCGAACTGCTGCCACTCCGTCTACTATCCAAACGGAGGCATGTCTTTGATCTATTGCCACTCTTCGAGCAAGAGTCGTTGCAAAGTTAATTTGTCTGACTGACACAAAGTTAAACCAGCTGTATCGATAGTAATTGAAAGAGGAACGGTTGTCAGGGGATGAGTAAATGCCTCTAGTAGACTTCCTGCCTTCAAAATGAGTAGTTAAAGGCCTGTTTTTGTGTTCCTTGACCACGGTTTTGTGTTCCTTGACCTTTTCCAGATCTGTCTTCAGCTTTGTTTTTATTGATCGGCGTGAAGAATTAAACACTGCCATTAATCAGGCGATCATTTGTGAAGCGATGCATATTCTCTTCTCCCATGATCGACGCTGCAAGGAGGTCAGTAGAATTTTATTAATCTAATTCTTCACCAGTTAAAGTCGATTTTGCAGGAGCAGCAGAAAGCCGATTGGTTACATAGCTTTGAAGAGTTCTCTAAGGCTATCATTATGCTTTTGAAGGAGCTTTGTCCCACCTGGAATGCTGTACTTGTGAATTGATGATGACTTTACGAAAAAGTATTGCTTCAGAGCCTCTCTAAACTTGCTATGAATGTGGGACGTAGCAATCCAAGTGTTAACCGCATTAACGTTTGCTAAAGCCAGACCTGTATGGACCTGCAGTCCCTTCAGCTTCTTTATTAAATAGCTCTGTATGTAAATCGCAATGAATTGCAGATAATTTGTTTTGAAATTTCCGCCAAATCCTTATTTGTTCCAATCTTGGAATGCTGTAGTTTGTTCACCCTCACCCTGTAATGATTGAAGTGCAATGGAAAAGCAGATGCTGGTATGCACAGTAGCGGGCATAGTTGATGTGATTCAATGCAAATGTAAGCAGAATCATATTTCGCACTGTTTGCAAAAGTAGCTTAGTGTTGCTTTTCTGCAAAGCTGCTACCATGCTCAACAAAGCAGACAAATTGTCCAGCTTAGCGATTTCAAGACACTTTTCAGTTTTTTGACGATTTTCAAGAATCAACAGTTTTTTGCATCAATCTGCCATTGCCTATGGGCATTAACTGTGTGTGTTTTTTGGAAAAGACGTTGGTGAACCCATGAATTGATAAAAGCAACCCATCAGCACCTTGACCTGGCTATACAAGTCAGCATTCGTTCACATATTTTGGTTTATCTTTGCCTTCCCCATTTCATCCGCACGAACAAAAATATTAAATATGTCAAGATCATATCTAAGAAAGAATCAAGGTATATTCCTTGCATACTGGATAGACAGGCACCTTATGAGTGATTGGCAAGTTATCTAGCCCTGTCAGGGGTATTAAATAAAGTAATAAACTATGTAATAACTGTTTCCTCCTGCCTCCTGGCAATGCCAATGATATAAGCCCTTGGCCTTTGTGCAAGCTCGGTTTCGTACGGACGGCTTCAGGTCCGGTCTTCGGAAACAATTATTTTAGGTTTAATTAATAAAATTAAAAGAATAATAATGAAAAACTGTGGATGGCGAAGAAGGGGCTTCTTCTCCGTTATAAGAAAGTGTCAAGCAAAATCATGCATAATGTCAAATCGCGATAATGCCAAATTGTGCCTAGCAAAATCAGAGTCAGCTCGCTGGTCGACGGCCATTTTGAAAGTGATGACGTCATCATTGAAAATTGCTGACATCGTTAAAATACTGATATGTATATATCATTGGAAAGCTCTTCTTCAGGCGAGCCCGAATCTAGCGTTTATAATGAAGTCAGACGTATACTTAAGAAGTTACAATGGTTTTGATACTAGGAAACATAACCTTTTTGGCGTCATCGGTAACGTGACTTTGATGAATTTTTGAAAATGTTGTAAGGGCTTAAATTATTCGTTATACCATAGTGTTCCATAATCAGCCGAGAAAACAAAGGTTAGGCAATGCGGTCGATGGTTGAGAGGAATGCCCTGCCTAAAAAGTCTACTTCTTTGATTTCTGTTTTTTATTACTGTCCTTCCTTGTGCCACTGTGTATCACATTTCTTAATTGGCTGTCGGAAGCGAGGCTAAGTGAAAATTGCCCTTCGCAATAATGCAGAAAAACATAATTTAACAACTTTAAACTCAGCCGATATGAAGGTATTTACAAACTCTAATTTTATTTCTAGGAATATAGCAACTGCAGCTTCAACGCGTATTTCTCCTTCATCCAGAGACAGAATTTCTTTGTTATGGCAAGGGAGATCCAGCAGCCTATTTTGCTTAAATTGTGGTCACAGAAAACTTTTAAATCAAGTATCAACGAAAGTCAACGATTTTAACAGTGTTTCAGATAAGAGGATTTACTTTAGTACTAGCTTTGTAAAATATATGGCAGGACATAGTCATTGGGCAAATATAAAATTCAAGAAAATGCATAAAGATGCAGAGAGAAGCAAAAAATTCGGGAAGTTGTCTATGGAGATAATACAAGCAGTTAAAGGTACGTAAATTGTTAATAACATTTTAAGAACTACTATAAAATTAGCCTACCTTTCTATTCAATTGTTAGAATTGAAATTTTGAAGCGCCTTGCTTGATCGAAGTACCACAAGGCGCCGATTTGCTTTCAGTTTTTGACAGTTTTTAAGTACCGGTAGAACAAAAATACAGTATCAACCCTAAGGGGCGTCACAAAAGGGCAGGTATGGGGGTGCTGTAAACTCTAATACTTTGTCTGTCCGCACATAAAAATTTTTCAAAGTGTGACACTTAAGTTTGAGTTTTGATTTAAGATTATTTATCTTATGACCACACCCATAAAGAGTGATACACACCCTTTTTCAGCAGAAATCAATTCTGTACCTCTCCAAAAGGAATTTTTGGCTTCAACCTTTAATTAAATAGGGTTTAAAAACACATTTTATATAAAACTAAGTTTCTAAAGATTAACTCGTTTTACACTTAAAAAATTGGAAGAACATGTAATGACCATGCTTAACTTGATTTATGTGTTCAAATAAAAATTTGTCATCAAAACAAAGAAGATTCTAAAAAAATTCAGGCTAATTGATTCTGAGATCATTGTAACATATTTCAAAGGGTTTTGGCATTTGTCTGCATGAAACTAAGTGTCAAGGCCAAAGATACCAACTAAGACACACTCAAAATCAAGCATAGAACTTCATTGTATGGTGGAGGTCTCAGTAAAAATTAATTTGCATTTCGAAATTTAAATATGCACCTAGGCAGCTACTGCCCTATGAACCGTGTCAAGAAAAGTGAAACTATAGAGAAATTCTCAAATATTTGCACCTCTATTGGCCACCAAACATGTCTTCTACCCTTAACAATTGACTGATTTTTGCATTAAGCAATGATCTTACAACTGTCCTGTTTTGTATACTGTAAGAATCTACTACATTAAATGGCAAATTTTGTATAGGGTTGGGTGCTTGTTTACTGTTAAATGTATATTTTCATGAAATTGATAGGACAAATATATTCAAAGATTGAAAAAGAAACTTTAAGCAAGTGGGCTTGATCACTTGGACCCTCTATACCTTGCCTTTTTTTCATAGGGATGATTAATGGCGTGGGCTATTGCTGTCCTTGCAAAAACAAGTCTCACTCGCCAGAGACAGGAAGAGCATTTATGGAAAAGTTAGTGAACTAGTAGTAGCCACACATTTTAGAAATTAAAGGTTAGGCTCAAGTGCTGATTGACATCTCCTTTAAAAATATTGCTGAATGGGTTATTGTTCTCATAAGCCCATTCACACAGGCAGTTCTTTGCCCTTAAGATATTTTTTCATGAAGAGGGCTGGTCTGTACTAAAGGGAAACAAGTTTCACCCTCCTATGAAAATGTTGTTCAATCAATCAAGAGGTATCTGGTTCAGAGCTCTCACCTGCTCACAGCTCTGGTGTAAATTTAAGACTTAGGGGCCTTTTTAAGCAATGATCTTATTGGAAACTTTTCATTTTGAATTCCAGTTAAAACTACAATTACAAATCTCACTATTACAAGGTAATTTGTAACTGGCTAGCCTGTTTTTACAAAATAAGACTATTACAATCGTAGTAAAGAGAAAAGAAAAAAAAAACGTTAAAAGGGGAGTAGCTCTGGGTTAGTCCATGTTTTGTTCCTACAGCAAAAAATGTAATAGGTGGTACGAATAGATATCGTAGAAAGCTTAGAAATGAGATATCGTTTGTGTTGATCATCGATGGAAAGAGAGTGACACATTTCAAGGAATGAGCTGCATGAGTCGCCGAAGATGCCAAGAGAGCTGATGGAGAGATTTACAAATATGACAGATTTGAACCATGGTCTTAGATCTGAGACAAGGCGAGCATATTTTGAACGTTTCCTTTCTGCATTGCAGTTAAGGTTAGTTTCAAATCCTATCGTTAGTTCCAAAACATAAAGAATGTTTTCCTTTGTACGCAGAAGTAGATCTGGGCGCAGATTGTCTCCAGTTATGATGGATGGTGAGGAGAAGCCAGGTATATCGGCAAAAAGAGAGGATCCCTCTATTGCTTTCAAGGAGGTTGCAAGAAAATTTAGAGCAGAATTATGACGCCAGGTATAACGACCTTGTTCGAGATAAACTTTGCAGCCTGCAACGACATGAAGTAAAGTTTCGGGAAGAAGGCAGAATTCGCAATCAGATGATTGGCTTAGGTTCCAAAGGCTTAGATTTTTGCGCGTAGGGAGAGTATTGTTCAGGTACTTGATGGTGAAGTTGAAGATGTTCGTGGGTAGGTTGCTCTGCACAACAGACCAAAGACCATTGAGCTTTTTAAGAGAGTGGTCCAACAGAAATGAAATAATAGCACCCTGGGATAGTAATTGGTGTGCCAAGCGCTCTCTACTGTCTGATTTTACTGCTTTGAGTACATCTTTGGTGTTACGGTAAATGTCGTATTGCAGATTCATCCCACTACTGGTGTTTTTCCATAAAGCTTGAATGTTTGTGTTAGGAGAAGTTCGGAGGGCATTGCGTGAAACAGTTTGGCATTGAGTGAATTTGACAGAAGGTAGCTGAAGATCGAGACCAAATTGATTTTTAGAAAGAACTATACTAGTTAAAGTAGCACTTATGGGAAGATCAAGCCACTGGCGAATGTATTTAGAGACAAGATTATCGAGGTTCTCAATGACCCAGGTCTTCGATAGGTCTGCAACAGTGAAGTGCCAAGAAACTTTGGACAATACATATCTGTGGTACAATAGAAGTTTATTTTTGGGATGCAGAGGCAAGTCATCAATTTCTTTCAGAAGGCTGGGAAACATTGATAGCAGTTTTTCTTTATGACTGCCGTTGGTCATTTCGAAGTCAAAGAAGCGGCCGAGGTATTTGAAAGATTCTCCATTTTTAACAACAGGCACGCTTTGGTTGTTCACGAAAAGCTTTGGCTGGAACTGAAGAGATCTTGTTGAGTATTTCTTAATGCCAAAGGTGACACATTTATCAACCCTTATTACAAAGTTTGCCCACTGACACCATCTTGTAAAGCAGTTTAACAGGAGTTGGTTCTCCTTTTCACCACTAGTAACAACCGCAGCATCATCAGCAAATTGGAACCAATGCACTGGCTGGAACATGCGATCGTTTTCGTCGTGGGGAGAGAAGCCAAGCTGTTTATATTTTTCTGCTTTTATGTATTGAATATACGTATTGAAGCATAGATTAAAGATAAGAGGGCTGAGGCAGTCACCTTGAAGAACACCACGACAAACGGGAATGGCAGGGGTTTGGAATGTATCTGTGAGGATAGAGGTCTTGAAGCCCGAATATAAGCTGGAGACCAGAGCCTGAATATGAGATGGTATATGATGGTACGAAAGAATAGTGGGAATCAAATTATGGTGGACCTCGCCGAAAGCATTTTTGAGATCAAGCAGGGTAACAACCAAAGAGCGCTGTTTTGTGCGAGCTTTATTTATCATATGACCCATAAGTGCCGTGTGTTCTAAAGTACCTGATATCTTGGGAGTGAAGCCTTTTTGAATTTGGCGTTCAATGAAACCATTTTGTTTCAGAAAGTTGAAAACAGAGTTACGTAGGCAGGAGGTGAAGATTTTCAAGGGGACAGATTCTAAGGTTATTGGTCTGAAGTTAGAAGGATCATCTGTATTGTCTTTTTTGTGGATCAATATCGTTGATGCTTTTTTCCATTCGGATGGAACACTGCCAGATACCCAAATGCTATGAATAATTTTGGTGAGGAAAGATCGTAGGTAAGGGCAACGTTTGAAACAAATGATGGATATCTTATCAAGGGGACAGGGAGAAGTGGAGGATTTCATGCGACGTATAATAGAAGTTATCACTTGATATGATGGAGGTTGTGTGTCAAATGGATAGGATGGTTCATCGAAAGAAGGTATCCAAGAAGGAATAGTGAATCGTTTATTTGGATAAAGGGCAGAAAAAGCATTACTAAAGTACTCGGTGCACCGTGTAGCAGAAAATGATGGCAGAAGTGATGACTTACTTTGAAAAAAGCGTTTGACGTAACTCCAAAAATTTTTAGCGATGTATTTATCATGATCAATTGTGTCAGAAGTATTTGTTTGTAGAATGTTTGTCTTGAGCTTCTTTCGAATAAGTCCAGATACGTATTTAATTTCAAGAATGGGGGCTTTAGAATATTTAAGAGCCTTTAATTGTTTTTTCAAGCTTTTAATTGAGTGGTCCTTGTATTTTGTAGACAGGTCTTTGTTGCAGTTTTCAATCACACCACATGTGTCCCTAAAATAATCATAAATCGAATCCATCATCAACCTGGTAACGTTATCAACTGATGACTCATTTATGGACACATCTACAAGTGCAGATTGAAAATACGAGTTGGCGAGTAACCATTCATTGTCAGAACTAGGTAGGCGAATTCCTGGCTTTATTTCAAAATATTCCTCAAGAGGCACATCAGGGTTGTCATTGGTATCCAGATCATCATCAGTCACAATTTCATGCAGTTGCTCTTCGCCAAGCCCTTTCAAAACCTTACAATTTCTCTGATGAATGCGGAGGCCTTTGATCCCTTTGCAGGACTTGCCACAGCAGCACTTAACACATTGTTGACTGTTCAAAACAATAGAATTTGATCTGGTGTTAATCAATGGAATGTTAATTGCTCCATCGGGTCCAGTATCTTTGCTGTGAATCTGTCGTTTACAGCGCCATTGATGTCGGCCTAACGTAACAAAGTCCTTTCCACAAAACGAACAAATGGTAAATAGAATGAGAATTGAGATAATATAAGATCGAACCATGTCTTTCCAAAGTCCTTTAACCGTTATTGATCGATTGACTGAAACAATTTATAGAAACAAATAAATCCAGGCTTGATAAATGAAGTTAAACCGGAGATAAACCTTAATAATAATAATAATAATAATAATAATAATAATGGATCATGACCAGTATCTGCACAGGGTGGCTCTTCATCTGGTCGTTATATACTACATGATTCAAAAGTTGCTATATGAAAAGTAAATATTAAAATAGTTTAAATTGTGTAAATTGGAAATTAAAAGTTAGGTTCTTCTTTTTATGGATCAAATTATTATTACTATGATGTATGAACATTTTTGTACAATGACCTTGTCAAGAGAGAGCCCCTAGGCCTCTGGTGGACCACCAGTAATTTATCTTAATCTGAGCAAAAAGGTCGGGGAGGGGTAACATGTCTTGCCAAATATTTCATGGTTTGATCCTGACTCTGTGATTTTTAGACTGTCACTGTATAACAAAACTCTTTACCAGAGGCAATAATCTGTTTAGCCAGGTTATTTGATTCCCTATTTCTCAATATTTTAAATATCAAGCTGCTCATATTTTGCCTTGTATAAGATGCACATTTTTCAATTTATTGTTGGCTTTGTTTGAGGGTGTATCTTATACATGGTAACATCAACTGTGCCATTATTTCCTTTAAAGGCAAAGTGTCATTTTATAGACAAAATGTTTTGATGTTTGGAGCACCTGTTGTTCTTGTTTGAATAATCACACTTTTATTGGAAATTTAGTAATAACTTTAAAATTCTCCAGCCGCAAAAGAAAAATTATCTGAGAAAAGCTTTTTATTCCCAAGCGGAAAGGTTGTACCCTGCGTTCTCTTAATTGGAAGGCACATCTCTGTAATTGTTCTGAATGTTATGAATGAAACAGATGATGAACAAAAATTTTATGGATTTTAAAACCTATAAGCCTTAATGATGATTCTGATTATTTTATGATGTTAAACTTTCTACTTGATGATTTGAAACATTGTGGTTTAAAAAAATTTTCCTCCACAGAGTTAGTTACCACAATATTTCTTCACTATGATAATGTTTTTTTTAGATCAACAGTAAATTTTTCAATACCATAATGCCTCGAATAAGCGCCCGGGTGCTTATTTAATTTTTGAGGCTCCAGGGTGGGCGCTTATTCGAGGGGGGCGCTAATTAAAAAAATAGATTTGGAAGAGACTAAAAAAATGAATGTGTTTTCAATTGAAGCATGTTATTATGCTGGAAAGGCAAAAAATGAGAATGAAAACTACAACAAACTGTGTTGGTCATTCAATCTTTCTTGGTGAATTGCCTTCCAATTATGTTGTTGTCGAAAATTCAAATAAGCGCCCATTTCTGAAGGTTGAAGGATGGGCGCTTATTCGAGGGGTGGGCGCTTATTCGAGGGGTAGGCGCTTATTTGAGGGGTGGGTGCTTATTTGAGGGGGCACTTATTCAATAATTTTATCTCTAGGGTGGGTGCTTATTCGAGCAGGGCGCTTATTTGAGGGGGCACTTGTTCAAGGCATTACGGTACTTATCTTGTTACAGCATTATAGCATTCAACTTTTATATTGAACATTATAATGGTCTTATATTTTTCTTTTTGCTTTAATAGAAAATGGACCTGATCCTATTTCAAATTCAAAGCTGGATGGAATAATTTCAAGAGCAAAAGCTGTTAAGATGCCAAAAGACAGCATCGAGTCTGCAATCAAATCAGGGCTACGTGTAAGTGAGATTGCTTTTCTTAGAGGCATGCTAAGATGGGAGTGTGGGGGTGCTACATTCCCCAAATTTTGAAGAAGCCCTCTTGTTTCGAGCTTATCTTTAGAAGTTGAAATCATGATCTTGGCTTGTCAAAAATTTTGCACCACTTGTCTTCTCATCTTGGCTGATGCTTACCTGATTCCGCAATTGCGCAACCAATGCTTAGAAAAATATCAACCCCACCATGTTTTGATTTGATAATTACAAGACAAGAACAACTCAAGAATTTTATAAAGGTCATGGCTTGTTCTGTGAGAATATACTAGCTCTGTGAGAATATACTCAGTCCATAAACTATCATGAAATATTATCTAGCACATCCTGCTGGTAAACTTCCTTAGCCCCCCTCCCCTTCCGCCACTCAAAGTTCATTTTGCACACAACTGATTGCTTCACTGCATTTGCCACTTTATTATTATAAAACTCAATATGAAATGGTGGGTGTAATTAATCAATAACTTTTTTCTGATTAGGTTGGTAGTGAGGCAAAAGTTCAATTGTCACTGGAAATAAGAGGTCCTGGGAGGTGTGCAGTTTTACTTGATGTTCTTAGCTCAAATATAAAAAGGACACGGCCTGAGCTTAATACAATACTAAAAAAATATGGGTATGTATGGCTGTTTTTTCTTTTGTTAAATTTAATATTTTTCACTTGCTGCCATTAGAGTGTGTACAAGTGCAGCAAATTGAAAATATTCAAAGTGCAATTTCCAAGTATTAAGAGTGCAATCAGAGTGCAAATCTACTGTAAACAATCCCTAGTTCATCTTTAAATGTAAGCCATTTTGCTTACATTTTTATAGTAATAACTGCTCAATTCTTGGGGTGTTACATTTTTTTGTTGAAAGGATTCATGAAAAATTGACTTCTTCTCTTGAAGGGGAATACAGAGCGAGGAAGGATCTGTTTCTTTTATGTTCCAACGCAAAGGTACAGGTTTTATGTAAATTATTGTATGTTATACAAATCAAAGCATTTCATTCTACAGGCGTGCCACAAGTTAGCATTTGATGTATAAGCTGATTTTGTTTTTTCTAGCTGACCTAACAGTTTCTAGCTGATCAAGTTTTAGATATCACCCCTTTTTGGTCACACCTTGTATAACCTTTTTAACTTAAAATATTAAGATTTTAGATAACCAGGAAGCCTAATCTGTTTCCCATTACCTTTATGCACAGGTATTGTGACAGCAGAGAGAAGTAACAATGACGATGCTAGTGTAAACAGAGTATGTAACTTAATTTGTTGTCAATTCTGCTGATACTTGAGGACAGTGGCGAATCTAGCCTTAAAAATCTGTGGGGCTAGCTGGGGCCCAGCTTTCAGCCATATACTTTGCGAACTAGTAGAATGTAAAACAGTGGTGTGGTGGCTCAAAATTTGCTACAGGACACCAATTTTGGCGCCCCCTAGATAAGTATGTCCTTGGTACAACTCTAACAGGGCCGATGAAACTTCAATGTTAAGATCGATCCTGCATTTAGATATCTACAACATCCGTAGGTTAAGGCCCAATGAAGATGCTAGATAATATACGCTTATTTTTACCATTATGCCTAATAGTTTTATTAGTTGCATAACGAAGGCAGCTGCGTTCCTTAGAATAAATAACAAAGAAACTTTGTTGCTGGGGACCCCTAAAGATCCGGGACCCTTAGTACATGATAATCATAATATCAACAGAAGAACGGTATTTTTGATATGCGATGGTAGATTGCCAATGTATACTGGTTTGGGATGGTATTGGTATTTCCCTGCGCTGGGTGCTAGAGGGAAAAGGGTTTTCATTGAGATGCAGATAATACCCTTCGCACCCCACCCCAAGAAGGTGTATCTTCGTGATAATATGTAACAAATATAGAATTAAAATAAAGAGTAATTTTCAAGAATGAATTTTTCTTGGTAACTGCCATAAAAGAGCCAAAATTTCATTAATGTTTACCTCGGTTATGCTTTTTATCAAAATCAAAATGCTTTTTAGAGCCCTTAGCTTGTTAAATAAATGCAATAAAGATCGTATAGAGTAAAATAGAAGAGAGCAACCCTAACCAAGTCAAAAAACCGATTGAACAGCTATGGGAGAAAGCATCAAACTTTTAATATAAACTTTTGTAAAAATTTCTGGAGGGCATGACCCCCTGGTCTCCCAATAGAAACATCACTGCTTGTGGGGACTCATAGGGGAAGAGAATGAATTGTTCAAGGATTTAATTCAGTGACCTAGTCGAAGCATTAGAGGTAGGCTGCTCTTGTACAATGATCTGTGATATTTTGACGTGTGAATGGCAGAATTGAACATTATTTTGATACAACACAGCGTTTAATTTAATTCTTAAATTTTTCCTCTATTAGGTCGAGGATGCAGCGATTTTGTGTGGTGCAGAAAACTTCTATTTCGATACTGATGAAGACGGCAATGATGTGATACGTGTGAGTATAACCTGATATAACGATATCGTCTTTTTTCTGAAGAAGGTGTAATAAATGCCAGTCAATGACAGCAACCATAATGCTATTCCTTTAACGAGGATCTCAACATGCAGATTTTCTGTGATACTTAGTTTTCGAATTTCGATTTCCAACAGGGTCCAATGTACCTTTATAGCTAGTCAGTGGAGCCCATTGCTTTCCATTTCTCCTGCTCATCGACATTGATGACTTTCCTATAATCATATTATTTACCCTTGATCACATAAGCCCTGTTTACAGTAAACCTCCGGTTCGCCGTGGTTAAAAGTAGGTTATTAGATCTACAGTAGCCATCAGAGGTACCATTTAATGTCTTATTTTGCAATCTGCAGTTTGTGTGTGCTCCCTTGGATTTTGGCGCAGTGCAAAACTCACTTTGTTCGGAGCACGGTTTTCATGTCATTTCTGCGAACGATGAGCTTGTCGCTGTAAAGTTGGTGGATCTTGATGAGAACCAAATGCAGCAAGCAGACAAGTTGATTGATCAGCTAAGTTCTCATCCTGATGTTATGAGAATTTTTGATAATATAAGAAACTACCCAAGCTCAACATTAAAACGAGATAACCCCTTTTAATATAGAAAAGGAAATGGCTTATTTCTAATAATGGTTTTTTTGTTAATTGATTATTGCTATTTCTGAAAGAATGAGATTTTCATGATGTAGACTGTTTGAATTTTACTGCATAGGTGAGAAAAATTTTTATGACTTCTAATTGGTAGAATTTCCATTGAACATTTTTAAACCAACCTTTTTAAGTGTTTTTTAAGTAAAAAGTGCTTATTTTTCTTTTTTGATCCACGTCTAACATGAACCTCGAATTACAGCTTTGAGAATAACGAGTGTCGTGTAATATTTGGTGCGTGAATAGCCAGGATGTTATTAAAACATGATCAAACATGCACAGTTCTATCAATCGCGTGATGTTAAAGAGCTACCAACATGCAATGTTGCTCTTTCAATGTTATCTGAATTACCATCCTATTACTTTGGATTTTCTGGCAAACCATTTGAAAAGGCTTCCTTATTTCTGGCTAGCATGTTGTTCATAATCATCTTGATTTCTTTCCAATGCCCCATCCTTTCAGTCCTTCCTTCAAATATCATTGTCATGCATACTTACCCGTTAAAGCGGAAGCGGTTGACTTGCTTGTTTGGGGACTTGTGCATTTTCAGCTGCCCAGCAAATTACATCTTATCAAGCTACTACTTCTTAGTAAATGTTTGATGCTTGAAAAATATCACATTTTTAAGAAACCATTACGCGGATGAAGTCAATTATTTTCGAGAAGAACGGGTAAATATAGAATTTTCCCTACACATTCCGACAAATTATTAAGATTTCTAAATTTTTGTCACAAATTTGGTGCTTTGGGAGGGGTGTAGCCCCTTGCCCCAGTCCAAAGCATTGTGCCTTAAAGTGAAGGACTGCTTTTTGTGGGCAGGTTTCAAAATGAAATATATTCATTGCAATATAGTTATCGCGAAGACGAAAGCAAGTCAAAACAACATCTACTCCGAATTTTTATTTGTGCCATAGAGAATATTCATTTTAATTATCAATACTAGTAAACTATTTTCGACAACCATAAGGAGGTATTATAAAATACAGTTCTACGTAAATAAGCTATTTTAAAATTCGCTAGGATAGGCAATTATTGTGACAGAAATTTTTCTCCGTCAATTTATACGAATTATTTGTGATGTTAAGTAATATTTATAAAAATTTAATTTCGAAAGACAAATTTTATTTACAGAGAGAAAACATAATATTTCTACCTAAAACATATCATTTAAGACGATTAAGGAGAGGTTGAATTTTTTTAACAAAATTCGAAAGACTGTTACTTGGGTGGTTCCGTAAAAATGGCATCCATTAATTCACCCAATCAAGTAGGTATAAGGGTCACTAACTTATGGCTCAGATGGGTCAGTTGTTACGGAAAACATAGCGACCAGTACCAAAACTAGACTAGGATTGACTGGAGACAGAAAGAGGCATTTATGGTTGACAATTGAACCCAGAAAGCCAAATTTCTCGCGCCTGCATCTGTCAATAAACCGAGGTATACTGAGAAAAAATAAGAAAAAACTCAAGAAAACATAAAAACAAAGAAGATAGCGACGGAATGGATAGGACAGGTATTTGCATCATGCAAGTGAACGGTAATGAGCATTAGGATGCTTTCCGAAGACTACGAAGAGCTAACGAAGTATGCAGTAGGATCAGTAGTGTAGCAGCGGTTGCCCTGACGCGACAAGGGGGATTGGACGCTATAATTGGGTGTTGCCAGGCAGTATGGCAGTAGGTGCATGCTTCTCATCTAAATCAATTGTGGTCAAACTCTAACAAGCATAAATTTTCATGAGCCATACTCGAAGCACTTGCAACATAGGTGCAAAATAGTTCTCGATGAAAATGTATAGTGTAAGGGCTGAGATGCTTCAAAAAATCTTGCCTTTATTTTCTGACACATGCTCATAAACCGTGCACTCATATCACACTTTTCACCGTACGCATCTCGATTTAAAAAGATTGCTAATAAATTTTGCAAGAGAGGTATTTAGTTGCAGTGCAAAATCTGCAATTGGTAGTAAGTTGTCGAAAATTTAACCTTAAAAATTCAATCTTACTCTTATCAGAGCGCGTTGTTTGAGTTCTACGTTCGTAACTGATTCCTGAGCAAGCCTTCTGAGCAAGCATTCCTGAGCAATATTTGAATTTTCGTTTTTTACGCCTTGTTTAATGTATTTGTTGCGTTAGTAATACAAATGCTCTAGTGAGTTTGTCGCGATCTTCAGTTGTGGTAGAGATCATCAAATAGAATACTCAAGTGTGCATCAATTAAAAATTGTTGCCACTTGCTAGCGCTGGTACTTTCACAATGAAACATTATGAATCTGGTAAACCATTGCTAATAGAAAGCTTTTTTAGAGCCTTTGTGCCAAGATAGCTAATGCTTGCTGTGTCTTGTGTGCTAATGCTTGCTGGGTCTTGTGTGCTTATGCAAGTGACTTGGAATGGCTATTGCTTCGATCTTTGCTTTGTCATTCTCATTCGATTAACAGAAATGCTTTAAGACATTTTGCTTCCTTTCGTTAGGTTCATGTTGCCTTTGTCCTTGCACTCTGGCAGACTGATACTTTTTGGAAGCATCGATCGAGTCGCTGCTGTTTTTGGCCTTGGCTCCATGGATGCAACTCGGCGTAGTCTTTCATTTCTAGAGACGGTCCGAAGTGCAGGCAAACTTTGGCTTGTTTTGGGTCTTTGCCCTGGAAGAAAAGAAAAGTCCTGGTTAGTGAGCGGTCTTTCGTCCTTTCAAAAGGGGCATTTAGCTGGTTTGATGGTGAGAGGAATCCACACGTTACCAAAAATCTCCAAATCTATAAAATGCTTCATTACCGTGTGGATATGCAAATTGTGCTATTCCTTTTACAATTGAATATAAGCAAGAAAGGAATATATCCTGAAATTTCCTTATTTTCTATCAAATTGGTGTACATGAAACTACTTCAAGTTATATCTGAGCCCATATCTATTAATTCAAATTCCTTTAAAAGGGAACAAAGTTTTTAAAAGGGGAAACGTTTTAAAATGACAAGAGTTATAACTAACGTCTTTCAGGAGGCTGCTTGACTTGCACAGGAGGTCCACCGTTCATCTCTAAGCTAAAACGAGAAAATAAAACTTATTTATGATGATGTCAACAGAATAAATGATTAAAATTGTCCGCAGTTAATTATCGATTGTAAATCAAATAAACCTTCCCGTTTTGTCCTCGTTTAACTTTCCTACAAAAGCTTCCCAAAGCCCTCCTACCAAAGATCTGATTTGTTCGTTCAATGGATGTTGAATTGTTCCATGCAATGAGTGATTAACAAGTTGTAACAAACTTTGGCCTTCTGGGGATTCAACAAGACTAAAGATGAAAACCTTGCTCCTTAATACTGTGCTTCATCCGTAGTATCGTTTTTTTATGCAGCACACTCAATTCATTTTACCATGATAAACATCTGTATCAGTACCTAGCTAAGATATCGGTAACTATGAAATTTAAAAATTATTTTGAGCACTAGGCCTATGATGTTCCTTTTTGCCAGCCTTGGGGAATAGGAGGCTTTGCAGGATTGGCGGCTTCACGAGGTCTGCCCAGCCCCGGCAAAGATTTTCCAGTTTGTAACCGCTTTATGAAGGTGAAAGATATTGTGGCTTTCATAACAGTTTGTGGCAACTATGGTTAACCACGCTACCCCTACTCTATCAGACTGTTGCAAGCCTTTACCCACCTGTTACAAGGCAATCCAACATTGACATTTCTCTGCCACTCTTCAGCAAACGCCATGCTAAGTTTACCATTGCCAAGGTTATTGACGAGTGAATCAAACAGACCCGGCGTGTTTCTGCAAGCGGACAACAAAAGTCTTGCTGCAGTGCTGTTAAATGTCAGGTAACCAAGGGCAACTGCAGAGCTCCTTCTCACTTGACTGTTTTGTGAATGAAGGTTTTGGACCAAGTTGTTTACTGCGCCTAAGAATGAAGGAACAGAATGAAAAAAATCCTTTTTCTTATATAATTTCACGATTTTACCTCTACGTTTTCATTCGATCTACACTACATTTTCAACCTAAAAACTGACCAAATATCAAATGAGATGTCAGGTGCTCAAAATTTTCAACTGTGAATCGTTTCTAACTCTGTGTGAAAAAACGCAAAAAGATTACATGTTGATACATCTGGCCACAATAAGCAAGGCATACACACCAGCAACAATCATGGCGTCTGGGATACCAGCTCTTGTGTGGGCAAGACTAGCCAGCAAACGAGCTGCCAGAACCTTGGACTCATCCTTTGTCGAATCTAGCAAACTAACAAGCAGCTTAACACCACGCGCTGATAGGGTGACCTAAAAGGAGATCGTTTGTTAAAAGTTCTGTTTAGAAGACAGAAAGGCTAGTCTAAGTAACAGCTAGTATTTAATAAGGAATCAATCCGTCATTTAAAGTGCAAAATATTTCATTTTTGACACACACGAAGGAAATATTACATGTTTGCCAATACATGTAAAATGAATATTTTGCTTGGTTCCTACGTCTTTGCATGCAAATACCGTCTGATATGACCAACAGCCTGATGTAAACTGCTTTTGAGTCACAAAACTATTGAACCTAGTAGAGTAACTTATATCTACAAAAATTTTTCGTTCTAATGTATTATTATTTTTATTTTTCTGGTACACTTCTTCACAGAAAGGTAGAATCTCGTATTTGTTTACCTGGTCTACATCTACGATAACACGAGCCAGTACAATGATTTGAAACGCCCCATATGCTTGATGGTTTTCATCCACAGAATCCAAGAAACTCTCTAAAGATTTCATCATTACTCCTCCACAGCTACGAATAGCAAGCTGCTGATCGATGTTGTTGTAGGCAAAGGTTGCTAGTGCAGTTGCGGCTCTAAGTCGGATCCCCATGTCTTTTATTCTGATTAGGTCCAGTACGTGTGATATTGCAAAAGCTTTGTGCTTACTAAGCTCTTCTTGTGTGACATTGTTGCTAAGTACTATCTTAGCAAGTGTTGTTGCTGCTGCGACCTGTATAAAACACGAAAAAGCGGAGATAAGCTAACAGCTTTATCTTAATGCTCGTTAGATTCCTTTATCTTTTATCTGAAATTTGGTTATCTGTTCGATCAAATTTTAACCAATGATTTTGAAATAAAGTGTAGGTGGGTATATAGAATGACGATGATATAATTAAAATTTTATCAAAGCTTTACATGTCTTCGTAGAAGTGTTCGTAGAAAACTTCGAATATTACGCGAAAACTTAAAACAGAAAAGTTTTCTCTGACTGTTACCTTAATTTGCAGATTTCTGTTGCTCAGCATGTAATTGATGAGCAATGCCAGTGCGTCTGTTGATGCTATTTCTTTCTGCAGTGCCTTGTTTGGTTGATGGGCAACACCGAGGCATAAGTTTCCCAGAACCTCGATCGCCATTGTTAGCACCTTGAAGCAAAAGAAGCCAGGTTATTTGAAGTATTAACTATGTTAGCAGACAAGCTTTGGCATAATATTATCGAAGGGACATTAGCTAAGGGCAATCCTTTTTTGTAATTGCAATTCCATAACAAATCTACACAAAGCTCTGAAGTGCTTAAATTATATCTTAATCTAGAGAATCCTCAGAGTGATCCTATTTCGCCCTTTGACAAGCCAGAATAATCAACTGGAGAACTATTCTTCGCGGCCAAATCTAACGATGAGAAATCCTTCTTGGATTAAACTCAGCAGTTTTAAAACTAAACACTTCTGCTTTTTTACCTTTTCAGATGAGTGTGATACATTGATTCCTCTTAAAATGCGAACAAGAGGCATAATTCCGCCTCCTTCCGAAATTCTGTTCTGATTTGTAATATCTTCCTTTCCAAGAGCTGTAAGCGCCATCCCAGCAACGTATTGTAGACGCTCAGACTTTGTCATTAGCATATCCACCAATATGTTTATTCCAATCAGTTCTGCTATCCTTTTCTGATTTTCAATGTTCTCACCGGCAAGTGCCCAGAGAGCAGTTGCACCTATGATTAAATGTTAATACAGCTTCTGTGAAAATTATATTTCTTTCTATTCTGCTACATTTCTACCTAATGCGAAGCTATAAAACATATTTTACCCCATAAAGTAAATGTTCTGACATATCAATACGCAATTTTCGAATCAACTGAGAGATGAGAGGGTACTGAATAAAAGAATTAATTTATTCAAACCTTGCTCTTTCATATTAACATCCCACAACTTGAGAAGACGAATCAGAGGCTTCCCAGCGCCGTGTTTATCAACCTCTTCTTGTGCATAGGAATTGTCTTCTGACAGAGCCTGCAAAGCACGAGCTGCCTTCAACTGGCATCTTGAGTCCTTACTTCGTAGAAGCTTAACCAACGGCTTCACAACACCTTCTCTAATAAATATATCTTGATTGACTCTGTTTTTATGAGCAATTGCACTAATGCATGCAGCGACATTTGCTTGCAGGCGAATGGAAGTTGAACCTGTAAACAACAAGATTATTGCAGATGGTAAACGGTGTGTATGTAGGTTTGGACAGAACACAATCAGAGGGCAACTGACTGGGGTTCATAGCAATATATGATCATGATTAACGACAGAATGTTAAATTTACTGTTATGGATTCCTTATGAACACTATAACTATAGATAAATCTACCTTAAAAGCTCTATTAAGCATCCGGGCGGCTTATTTATTTTTGCCAGTCTTAGAGGGGAGCTTAAAAGAGAGGGGGACTTAAAAGAGAGGGGGGCTTATTAGAGAGGGGGCTTATTAATAATTCAATGTAAAAAAAGGTATTTAAATCAAATGTTCTGATTGTCATACAAATGTTCTCAAAAACTTTGCTAGCAGCTTCATAAGATTCTTAAAATCAATCCATTATAATGCCCTCATCTTCCTCAGATTCACCAGGAATAACTGATATTCCCTGGGATATCTTCTAAACAAATTTCGACTGACTTCTAAGGCGCACAAGTAAGTATTCACATGGGCAGTTTTTAATGCACACTATCTTATTGCCATCACACCCATCAAGAGATCAACTCAATGCACATGTTTTCTTTGTTTGATATCAGGAGCTTGAGAGGGTGGGCTTAAAAGAGAGGGGGGCTTAAAAGAGAGGGGGAGCTTTTACGGTACTTTGTAATGACATCGATAAAACAGTCGATATATATCCATTTTATGTGGAGTCAAGATAATTTTTATCTCAGATAACAATCTGAAATACGCAGCTTTGCCGAACATATAACATTTGTTCACATAATGAATTCAATATTTAAATATCTTGATAATTGCTTTTTACGATAGCCACCAACTATTCAGGAGTTCCGTGGCTTATGCTATTTCTATACATAATTTTTAATTTCATAGCTTAATACACATACTTATGAGTTCTATTATGATTGGTACTGCATTGTGACATCCAATAGCAGTTTGGTTCTCGAGGTCTTTCTCTGCTAATACACGCAGGGCATTGACAACATTCACTAAAACATGCTCTGTTTCAGAAGACAGCAGCTTCACCAGTTTCTCAATTCCACCTAAAGATTTTATGAAAAAAAACAAATATTTGACACCTGGGTAATAATTAAAAATCCAAGAATAGCAGGTGCCTTTTGCATGTATGGTAACTGTGTAATATCTCAATGAAGCAGTCATCTATGTTAGTCTGTATCAAATTATGTTCAATTTTGCCCCTAAATTAAATCTTTGCATTAATGCAGAAAGAGTGTATAAAACACATTATTTTTTGAACATAGATTTAGTACATAAAGCAGCAGTGGGAGATTGAGTGTACAAAAATACAGTTGTGGGACATGGTTTTTATAACAGAATGATATGCAAAGAATGTGATTTTTCGTGTTATAACCTTTTCCTTTTGTTTGTATTTGACTTACAAGGTTTGAGGAGCAATTAATAAAAATAAAACTGTACCTTCTGCAGCAATAGCCTTCTGGTTCCCCTCAACACAACCAAGATCCCCCAAAATAACTGCAACACGCGAATGTACCAAAGCAATAGGACATGAGAGCAATCCAACTAGTTTTGGTACAGCATTTTCTAATGTCACTCTTTGTCTAACCTCATCAAACTCCCCAATATTACATAATACTGAAACCACCATAGATAGCAGAGGCACATCTTTTGTTTCAAGCTGAGAAACAAGAACTGGGATTCCTTCAGCTTTGACAATGGGTTCCCAGTTGTCTTTCTTATGCAGTGATAGAGCCTCGAGGCACTTAGCAGCTTGCTGCTGGTAAAACAGACTGTTGCTGTTAAGCATGGTCACCAGGACTTTCCAAACTGGAGCACTCTCAAGACCTTGGTCTATGAAATACTCAAGTATGTGGGTGTGCTCATGAAGAACAGCTATGTTTACAACATTGTTTTTCTCTGAATCAACTGCATTAAGGTCAGCGCCAACATCTACCAAGAATTTTAAAGCTTCTATAGCGCCGCTTGTAGATGAAAGGAGTAATGGAGTGGATGAGGAATCAGATCTTGTCTTCAACTCTAGCAAATTTTTGTCCTTGCTCAAAAATATCCTGATGCAGTTGACATTATTGAAATATGCAGCATAATGCATACCAGTAAATCCCAAAGAGTCAAATGCAGACACATCAGCTTTGAATGCAACCAATGCCTCTATACTTTCATCTGCACCTGATCGTGAGGCCAGATGTAGTGGCATAATACCAAGACCTGTGGTATTGTTAAACTTTCTGACATTTACATCTAGCCCCATCATAACCAGCTGAGTTATAATTTGAGGTCTGTTCATCAATGCAGCTTCATGCAAAAGGGACATTCCTTGAGGATCTAATGAGCCCAAGGTTGTGAGAGTCTGGCGTCTACATATGGTATGGAAAACTGCTGTCATACCTCTGTGAGCAGAAGCTTTCAGACCTGCAGGAACTTGTTTGAGTTTAACTGTTTTCTGATACCCAAATCTCTTTCTGAACTGTTCATGAATGTGGATTTCAGAAAGTGGCAGCCTTTTTGGCTTTAGTTTAGCTATCTCATCATAGTGTGCATGGACCCATTTTGGCAGTTTTGGTGTGATTGGGTAGTATGTCTCCGTACAAAATGAGAAAACAAAGTATTGTTTACCATCAATTTCAATTGGACTTAAAGGGTAACTATCAAGAAGAGGGCCAGCTCTGTTGAGTCTGTTCCAATTGTTCTCATCTGCTTGGACTATTTTGCTGTAATCTTGTCTTACTCCGAGATTAGGTAACAAGAAATCAGTTGGTGTTTCTCTCATAAACTGAATGCCTCCATGAAGACCAATATAATCATCTGATGATTCAAAGTTTTTACAAAACAGATCTTCGCTAATAACAATTGGAGGTAACTCCCTATCAGTTTTGCACTCCTCATGTGTCAATGGTGGCAAAAAGTCACTTATGTTTGGTATCTTATTCTTTCTTTTCAATCCAATAAGCAGTGGCACAAGAAGGCTTACAAACTTTAGAAGGGTGATTTCTCGCCTAATCTGCTCTTTCTTCTCAATGTTTTCTCTCAAAAATTTCTCTTGAGAGTAAAACTGTCTCTGAAGCCTTTCATAACTTTTAAGGTCAATGTTTTGGCTTCTTATCTTAGCTGATATTTGAGTGTTTACATCAACAACAAACATATTTTTGAAATGCCTAATTGTATTTTGCTCAAATGAAAGAACCATTGCTAGATCATCTGCATATTTCATAAAAAACTTCTGCTCATCAGCAAATTTCTTGTCAGTAATAACTGAAGCATTAAAGCCTGAAAATGATTCACGGAAATCTTCATCAGATGCAATGTCAATAAAACCTGCTTCCTTCCATATCAGCTGATGGCTTCTTCTAGTCTCAGCCTCTCCAGTTACTGTGTTCAAATTAACTGCTTGCCTCCATCTTTCATTGAATTTAGACCTTTTATCCATAGGAAAGAATGCCCCATGCCAAAGACTTTTCATCATGTAATCAACAGAGATCATCAATTGACCAATCCTTGTATCATGATAGCATGCAGGCATTTGACACGATGTGCTTTTATCAAAGTTTGATTCCAAACTTATACCTGGTATTTGATTTAGAACATAGATCCCTGTAACCAGCTCTCTCAAAATTTGATGCATCTCCCTTAATTCAAGTGACTTGTTGACATTTTCAGGAGCTGGAATTAAGACAAATATGACATCCAAGTCATCTAAGTGCCTCAAACTTGATGCCAAACCACTTGGAGGGTCGACTTGGATTTTAGTATCATCTACAGATAAGAACCAATCAAGGCTGGTTGATGAAAGTGCTTCTTGCAGATCGTCACGTTCATATTTGTCAAAATATGTTGCTGCTATACGACTGGCTGCCATTGAACTTGAAAGTTCATTATCTGTGTTTTTATTAAGCTCTTCGTTGGTCCGCAAGCCCATCATTGCAGACAGGCTAACTTCCGTTTGCGAGGGAACCTTAGGGATAGTCGGTCTCCTTTGCATTATGTTATGAGTATTCTGCACACACTATGTCTGTTTACCTTATATAGTATCTGATCCACCTTGCGTCAGTTTGCAAATCATTTTGATTCATCTTGCAGTACTCATGATAAATGGTTTTTAAACCAAGTATAGTTCTCAAAGACAAGAGAGTAAATCACAAACCCTCCAAGGGAATCCACAATCCGTTTTGCTTTGAGTTTCCAAACAATCAAAATGTTTACATATGCTCCAGACGAGCGGCCATGGTAACATATCAGCGTCAATCATATTCAGCCGGTGACATAGAGACGAAATCACACTGGAGAAATAGGCGATTCGACATTGCTAGTAGATATTTGAATACATAATTCAAAAATTTATTGAATATTTCAATGGCAATCCTTACTAACGTTAAACATCTTTGATTTTCAAGCAGGAAAGCCCTTCTTCTCTGATTCACGTGAAAAGCTACAACAACAAAAAGCTTTTCAACATTCCAATTGCTCCTTCGCAGTAAGCGAATGATTCCGAAACACCCCTGTGTAACGGGCCCTGCGAGCTCTTTTTCACTGGTTCTGTTTATAGCAGGTATTAAAACTATGTAAATCTGCAAATCGAGCTCAACCATTTAATTTGTTTAGATATGACTGTCTGGGGGAAAATTCAGCTTGTTTAGGATGGGAGGAAACGGAAAAATTCCTTGCCTGTGTCGTTCGATTTCTCGAATGGGGCCTCCCCGGTTTTCAGGAAATTTCTTATCGGGTACGGTTTTCACCGGGCTTGTTACAAGGGTGTTTTGATAGAGACAGACAGATAAAAAACGTTAATTGAGTGTTTAAATATTATATTCAAAGGACATCGAATCTCGACAAAATTAGAAACAAAAGTATTATTGCGAAAGAGCTCCATATTGAATTTCATCAAAGATCTTCAGTGCTATAGGTCGCATTAAAGAGAGAAGAGATAAATGCTTTGCCAAACAGCTGCTCTGCCGCAAAAAGCAAGGACAGTGATTTAGGGGGGGGGGGGGGTTGCAGACCCACAAAATAGCAAAGGGTACCTTGAATACCTTATCCCCTAAGCACAAATTGTATTCATATTTGTTGTCTTTAGCACTGTGCACCCAATCAATTGAATAATAGAAAGAGGTCTTTACCCCTGGTAATTAACTAAAAAAGTTTTAATTCTAGACAGCAATTCTAAATTTTAATATCCAATCTAAAAAGTTTTGAAGTAAAATGATGTTACGAACTGTTTCACTTGTAACTTACATGAAGCTAATGTAACTTACATAACGACTAACGAGTGAATTGGCCGAGCAAAAGTTTTTCTTTTATGAGAACCCCTTACTAAAAGTTTTGCACAGTTAAAAGTCAGTACTCATTGACACACACACTACTTTCTATACTCGTCCATAATATGGAAACTGGCTCTTTCTTGTCCTCTTTTGGCAAAATCCTTCCTTTCCTTGAGCTGTTCCTGTATGCGTTTTTCTGATCTACTACTTTTTCTCATCGGCAATACCTTTACCATTTTTAACTGTCAGGCGCAACCAAAAAACTAGATTGTTGGGAAGACGAAACTTCGAGACGATGCAGCAACCTAAGTTGCGATGTGTCATTGCACACGAACATTGTATTATCTTAATGCTATGGCTTTGAATAAAAGAAGTAGTTAACGCGGCGTTTGTATTTTTATCAACTACAGAATCAGAACTTTTTACCTTGCACCACACACAGTGACCATTGGCTCCTCCACAGCTCTCTGGGAAAACACCCATAACGTACACAAGTAAAGCATTTGTTTGGTTTCGTGTCATTAAAGATATTTTTAATTGATAGACACCCAGTCCCTTTTACAATCAACCTCAGTTTTGATGTAGTCCATCATGTTCATTTTCCGTAATAAGACATCGAATCGAAAGGCAAGTCTCATATTTTTCCAATGGGGCTCCTTTTTGGGAAAAATGGATCCTTTTTGCCAAACTGTAAGGGAAGGCCACGGTCATGGTCCAGTTCACCACTTATCAGCGATACGAATCATAGAGGCCCCTTTAAAAATGTATTGCCAATAGACTTCATAAAAAGGTATAACGTCATTAAAATCCATTTTAGATCTCTTCAATTTTGACCACATAAACTACAAAAACACTAAGATGAACTTATATTTATGAAAAATCAGTTAAAGATGTTTAAAATTGGGTAAGATACGGCCAATGAAAAGATTGGAGTGTGCTAAGGATTGCACTCTTTATCAGAACCAGTAATTTTAAGTTCAGGCTGACTAGCCTGTGCTCCAGAGGCTGACTGTTTTTTTGAGAGTCTGAGGCGGGATTGTTCTTAATTTGTTTTTAAATTAATAGGGTGTAAGCAGTGTAATAGCTACCTTTTTCGCTCCAGGGAGGTGTTAATGCCTCATTTTCCAACAAATTGAGTTAGACAAGAGATCTGCCTACAAGTTTGAAAATTCATCGAAAAAGTACCAACACATGGTTAAAAATCCTCGTTAAAAATCCTCGGTGAAACGTTGCTTAAAATTATATTTTGATGTAGCGCAGCTTCAGCTTGTTCTTAACTTTTGACCAATTTTCAGGCTCGTGTTCTTATAAAATTTTCACATAAAAAAGAGTGTACTGTAATTTTGGCTCGGTTTAACTATCATGATAGGGGAAGCGCCAGCGCCCATGCTCATGTACCCAGCCATATCGCAGCTAATTCGTATGACCTTTAGCTGAGTTTCCATATTTGGATACAATTTCTGGCTCTTTCTGGTTATGGGATCCAAATTAAAAAATTATTGAAGATTGTTGTGACGTCATCAGTCATGCACTCCATTTGGGCAAGACAATTTTTGGCGGGGGGGTTGGATACTGCAATAGCCTCTTTTTCAAACAAAATAAGGCAAAATGGTGGATTCCGCCGCGAGAGGATAGAAGTAGTCGTGCATCATTTAGAAAGAACGCCAGAAATCATACATAAGCGATTCGTTACCAGGATTAAGGCATCAAAATGTTTCCTTCTGGACCTCAAAAGCCCAAGGGCCTGGGATTTTCAGGATTCGCAATGCAAACCAAGAAGCCTAAGGAAAAAGTTCTCCCACAATTGGGTAACAAACTCGTCGCTAGTTCGCAGTCTAGAAGCGACCTTTTCAAGCCAGAGCAGAGCAAAGAATCGGAGATGTACAACCCGTTCGAACCAACAACCGAACCAATACAAGCACACAAAAAGCAAGATAAAAAGCCGAAAAAGAAAAGAAAGTCGTACGTGAATTTTTCTTGTTCTGATACAAATGAAACGAAATGTTTGTTGCACCTTTTTTGAACAGCTTTGTTTTTTTTGTTGTGTCCCAGACTGCAGAGTATGGCAAGTTTATGCCCGAGATACTTTTTCTAAAATGTCCCCGCAGCTGCACAGTGCACATCTGGTAAAGAGTGTGGCATTTTGAGATCTAGCCGTGTTATTTGACTAAATTTGACATGAAACTAGTTTTAACATCTTCAGTTTACATTTTAAGCTATTCTGCAAAACATGGCAGATCTTGATGCAAGTACAAATATGCTGAGATGCTTTTTTAATTTTCAACTTTATTCTCAGTACATTTAAAAAAAGTTGAAAATAATCATGTGTTGTGGAAAATGTGGTACCTGCATGCCAAAAGACTGTGAGTTTTCTAATAACACTAGCAACACTATTCAAAACCTCCAGCCATTTAGAGCTTTCTTACTTGTCCAATATTTTGGAAAAAATAAATATACTTCAAAATAACAATCTACTATCAAATTTGACATAGGTTGCATGCCTCTATAATGCCAGAAAAATGCAATCCCTTGCTTGTGGTCGTGTTGAGATAGCTAACTGTAATTTTTCTTGAAGGAGATGGGATACTGACGATGTCCCATACCAAAGGTCAGCAAACAGCCCTCCTCCATATCAAAGAACAAGTGATGATGAAGATGAGGATGAACTTGACAAATTTATGGCTGGCATTGAGGTATTTTTCTAATGCCAAGCCTTGTTATTGTTCTTAGCATATGCCTGATTGATGTTTAAAATAGGTGCCTACAACTCAGTAAACCAAACTGTTGTAACCAGAGGAAAACAAAGGAAAACATTATCTAAAACCCAATACTAATATTGATATTTGATTTTTAAGTTATTGTGTCAAATATTTTTTCCTTTTATTATTAAGAATGATCTAGAAAAAGAGGAAATCGAAGCAAAGAAACAAGAGGAGCAAGAAAAAGATGCTGGTAAAAGCAAGTAAGTGTTATTGTGGGAAGTGAATCTCTTATCATGGTCCTCAATGCTCACGTGAAGAATTAATAATGTAATAGTAATATGCATCTATGAAGCCAGCAATAAGTAACTATATTATGCCTGTTTCATTTTCCATTATCAAACTTTGAAAATGTTTATTCTCCAGTTTGACTTGAACATCTTACTTGTTGATTTTTCATTTACATGAGTTACCAGGGTCTGTTACTTTGTAGTGACCATTGTCGAACGTAATCAATTCATCCATTGTATCATGATCATTAACACCATCCATTGTCTCTGTGTCCACAGTAACGTAATCAACAACACTTTTGTAGCGTAGCGTTCCCTCATTTTATGTGTATACGCCCTATATTGTAAGTCAGTCAGTGAATTCATCAAGACATGATGGTCACACAACATTGTCTCTTGCTGGCTTCCTGTTTTCTGCATGTTAAATCAGATCTAAGAATGAGAGGTCATTCAACAGAAGCAGAATATAGCAACAAATCAATTACCAAATATCGTTCCTATAACTTTTCCTATAGTCTTCAGATTCTGTTTCTTGAGATTTCCTTGATAAATAGATAAAAGTGTTTTGATTTGAATTGGTTTTTTTATTGTAGGGGAAAAAGAACTGATATTGATGATGAAGATGATCAAGAGTCTTATTTTAATGCTGTCAAAGATGGCCTCATTGTCCCATATCCAGATGATGAGGATCTGTGGGATTATGACAGTGATGGAAATCCAATACCACCAGAAAAGTCAAAGGTATGTGTAGTGACCATTGTCGAACATAACCATTTCCTCAATTGTATCATTGTCATTAACATCTTCCATTGTCTCTGTGTCCAGATAACATAATCAACAACATTTTGTAGCGTCCCCTTATTTTATGTGAATACGCCCAGTTTTGTGTTTATTCAATTAGTCAGTGAAAACATCTTCCATTGCCTCCATATCCAGGTAACGTAATCAACAACACTTTTGTAGTGTCCCCTTGTTTTATGTTTTGTATTTGTTTAATTAGTTGGTAAATTTATCAAGACCCAACGGTCACACAACTTCGCTTCTTGCTGGCTCCTTGTTTCATGCATGTTAAATCAGATCATAAAAATGACAGCATGTCTCTAAAGAACTTGCAAAACAATTAAGATAGGAACCAATCAACACCATCAACCAGCGTTCCTATATATATGTATGCAAACATTGTTTTCATACCTCAGCTTTGTGCTAAAACTGTTTCCTTGAGAACAAAACACTGCTACCATAGATATTCCCATAGAGTTGTCAAAATCCTCTTGAGATTTGTGTTACTCCACATAAAAGAGCACATTTCCAAGCATGACAGTAATTGAAAATATGTTTCACAAAACTATAATTCAACTTTGATTGAAATTCCTTGCAAGCTTTTTCTTTGCAAAGTAAGTAAGCTGTTTAATAAGCAAATTAACATAGTAGTAACAATTTAATGGAATTGAAGCTTAAACTTTTTCCTTATTTGTATATTATATCTTTTCAAATAAAGTCACAACTAACTTGTTGTTAAATCTTAATTGCATCATTTCACTGATTAGATGTCATTTTCTTTCAGAATTTTTTTGGGCTATAATAAGTAAAAATGATAGTAATGGTGTTTAATCTGAAAATTTGACTTTCTTTATAACTTGTTCTTTCTTTCTAGATGATTGAACCATTGCCGCCCATTGATCACTCAGAGGTAATTCTTGTTTGTGTTTGTTCTATAAAATTGATTATTGCAGGTAGCGAAGTCTATTTCGGGGATATATGATTGCTGATATAAAGCAAAAGTGAAACATCTCACAAAAATGTTTTCTTTAAGTTTATATGCTGTCATTTGAACATTTTATAAAATGAGCTTTTAAACTCACATCATTTGGCTCAGTGGAATGTGCGTTGGTTTTTGAAGCAGCAAATAAGAGTTTGATTCCGACCATTATTCCCATCCAGAAGTTTGATTCTGACCATTATTCCCATTCAGGAGGATGCTAGCTTACTAGAATACTTCACTTCAGACCCAATCAAACTCCAGTTTACAGCATTGAAAGCAAGGATCATTCCACTAAGCCAAATGACTCAATGAAGTGATCACCCGATGGAGGTCTTCACTGTAGCCATGCCAATCGCTGTTTCGTTTTGGTTTTTTTTTCTTCTGTTTCGGTGGTAAATTAACGTTTTTTAATTTAATTTTCTTTGTAGATTGATTATAAAAATTTTGATAGAAATTTTTATGAGGAACACAGTGAAATAGCTGCATTATCAAGGAGTGATGTAGAAGCATTAAGAAAGAAACTTGGCATAAAGGTGAGCAATCCTGTTCCTCTTGAGTATTTTAATTTTTGTATATTTGCAAAATACCACATGTAGTCTTTCTAGTAAGTTCAAACACAGTGCTGAGAACATATACTGTAAATACTCAGATAAGCACCTGATGGCTTATTATTTGGGAGGTTTTGGGTTGGGGGATTATTTGAGGCAGTGCTTATATGATTGTAGGCCTTAAAAATTATCTCAATGTGGCCAAACAACAAGCTTTTTCTAAAGTATTTTCAATATTGTTTCCTTTGAGAAGCAGAATACTTTTCAATGATTGTATCATTGTCATTATACTACAGTCCTTATTAGTTATATTTAACTAAAATATTTTGCAAGAATACATCCTATGCTTAAGATATAATGTGCTTAAGATATATTAATATATATTAAGATTTAAGAAAATATATTGTGCTCCATTAAATAGCTGTATTTTTTTAGTAAAGAATATGGCTAGTGAGTTTTTTACATTTGTCATCAACTTTTGCTTTGTTTCCCTCTATCAAAATGTAGGTTTTGGGTGCTGAACCTGCAAAACCTGCGATTAGCTTTGCACATTTTGGATTTGATCTCTTCTTGATGTCTTCAATCAGAAGGTCAGAGTACTCACAACCAACTCCCATTCAGGCACAGGTAAAGTCATTTCCGGATCTGTTTATGCTTTCCTTGTTGCAGTCTTCAGTTTATATAGTTGTCTAACAGTGGACACAAAGAGGCAACTAAGTACTTGTTAATATTCTACAGAAAGCCGGACTTTTTTAAGGGAAACTTTGTTTATGAGAGCAAACAAATTTATTGTCGATGTAGCTATCATAAGAAAGAAAGTTTTTTGTGACAGAATTGTGAGAGGGAGCTTAGGGGCAATAATTAGCATGGCTGCTTATCATTTAAAAATGATAAAATTACTAGATTCAGCTCTTTATTGTTTTACTGTAAAAGCTCCAACTTTCAGGGCTCATACAGTTAGAAGTTGAGGAAGAACCCTAAAAATCAAAAAGAGCCTACCGGAATAGCTCCTTTTTAAGATACATCATTAACCAGCGGTATGACTTTAGTGTAAAACGCTATTGGCAAGCACTATTTTTCAATAATCATCCTTACTCTATGTCTGTGTACCTTTAGGCTGTCCCAGTTGCCTTAAGTGGCAGAGACATTATAGGGATTGCCAAAACTGGCAGCGGAAAAACTGCAGCCTTCATCTGGCCCATGTTAGTTCACATAATGGCACAGAATGAACTCAAAGACGGCGATGGTCCCATTGGGCTTATTTGTGCACCCACAAGGGAATTGTGCCAACAAATTCATGCCGAAGTCAAAAAGTTTGGAAAATGCTACAATTTGCGGGTATGATTTAGTAGCTTTTTCTTATCAAGTTTTGCTTTTTAATTTTCATTGTCGTAGAAAGGGAATGTGAATAGATTGCCAAAGACTTTCTAAAGTTACTGTTAAAGTTTCCAAAGTGAATTCCTTATTAATGCTTATTACCTTACTGATATGACCAGCATTAGTTACTTAAGCGAAGTTTTTAGGAAATTCACCAATGAATCAGACTTATCATTCAGTCGTATCCATTACGGTAATCGTATACCGTAAAATTCCGAATTTAAGCACGGGGCTTATAACACTTCAAAGTCCGTGTTATTGGGCTTTTATTTGGGGGGATTATATTAGCGGAGGGGCTATAATCGGAATGCAGTTAATATCAGCTGCGAAATACAAAAAGAAGAAAAACATCAATGGTAATAAAAGGCTTCAAGGTGTAGTGCGAAAATTGAACACAAAAGTTAATGTTCAATTAGAACATGAATAGAACACAAATAGAACATGAGATAAGGTGGAAATATGCGAGGGGATAAGATAAAGTGTAAAATTATAGTAGCTGGATTGGAAAAGATACACAAACTGTTTCTAAAGTCCATTACTGATTAGAGTAGCAAGTTTATAAAAAAATACGTTTTTTGAGGATTTTTCGTTGAGTGTTTTTATTAGGTGCGTGGCAAAATCTAGTGATTTTAATATTGGATATTGTGTGAGTATCTTTATTGAAGTGAATATAGACTGTGGCATCCAAGTCAACTTTTCTGGATTCCTGAAGACGTACTTTCTTCTCTACATCGCGGTCATGTTGGGAAAAAGAGAATTGAATTTCAATAAAGGGCAGACTGTCTTCTGTTATTGTATAAGTGAAGTCAAGCACTGGATGGAAATTCTTGACAAGATTGATTAAGTCTTGTAACTGGTTGATAGGGAGTGAAGTGTCATCAATAATATCGTCTATATACTGCATTAGAAGATAGGTTAGAGGGCCATGAATGTGTTTGTAAACTTCTTAGTTATAGTGAAGTAAAGCATAACTGAAAAAACTCGTCTTTCGTCTTTTCGTTTCGTCCATTCTTACAAGCTCCTCGGAAGAGATTGCGATTTTCAAATTGAGTGCCCCTTTTCTGGTTCGAGGGAGCGCTCGTTTAAGCTAGGGTGCTCATTAAATTTTTTTGCCATCAGAAGGGGCGCTAATTCGAAGGGATGCTTTTTCAAATAATTACAGAAAAGATAGCTGGTAAAGCAAGAAAGACGCCAGAATGCACATGGGCTAATGGAGGAGGCATTTAGATACCTTGTATATATATATATATATTTGTAGGTAGTAAGCGTAACAAATGAAAAGTTGTTTCCCTGCTGAAGGGAGAAAATAGTACTTTTATGGTAAATTCCAAATATAAGCTTCGGGTTTATATTCGGGGAGAGGGTTACTTTCGCAAGCGAATTTACGTCCCAGGGTTAAGGGGCTTATATTTGGGGGGACTATATTCGCGGTTGTGAGGGCTTTATTTGGAATTTTACGGTATGTGAAATTATGCTGCTTCTAATCACAGTGGTATCTGCCAGTTTCAGACTTCTAGCATTGTGGGGTTTTTGCTTGTAAATGTCTTCCCCGGCCATTTAAAATCTTTAAGAAAGAAAAGCGAGGTTTGCAATTTTCGAAGTTTTCCTGCGGAGCGGAGTAAATCAATGTAAAGTCCACTGAAGTTCCATGTTACTTGCATTCTGTTAGACCATTCTCAATTTTCGAATTATTGTTTTTCAGAGTGTTGCTGTGTATGGTGGAGGCAATAAATGGGAGCAGTCAAAAGCTTTGCAGCAAGGAGCTGAAATTGTTGTCGCTACTCCTGTAAGCTATAGTATTTTATCTAAAACTAGAATTTCGTATATTTTCGTATCAAAGATCTTGAATTCAGTATGTTTCCTAAATAGTCCTAAATAGATTTCTTGTACTCACAAAATGTTCGCCCTTTATCAATATCACTGTTTAAGAATACTCAAATCTGTTTTGCTTTTTGACCAGGGACGATTAATCGACTTGATCAAAGCCAAAGCTACGAATTTTCAAAGAGTCACGTACCTGGTCTTTGACGAAGCAGATAGAATGTTTGACATGGGATTTGGTGGGTAATTTTTTTTATTTCTTTCATGTAAAATAATGGACTTCAGTTCTTTCCTTAAAGTTAAAAAATTACGTTTGATTAAAATAAGCAGTGTCTTTGTTTATTTTACCTGTGTAACTTTATATTTCTAACAATCTCGCATAAAACCAGGCACAGACAGCCTTGCTTAAAGAATTTCAAGCCTCTGCGAAGGAGAAGCAGACAAGCCACTCCGCACGCCATGTTTTGGCCTTTGGCAACGAGGCTATAATGAAGTAAAGATTAAAGATAGCAAAATAAAATCGGCTAGTACTTCCAAGGGCAGTGCCTTTTCTCAATTGTCCAACAGCTAAAGCCACAAGAGGCTAAAGGGCGTTCAAGGTGCTAATCAGTTGCATAAAAATAGGCGTTTCTCTCTAGGTTCACTAAGATGTATACATCATTCTTTTGCAATGTTAACAAATAATGTAACCCTGTATCCAGATGCCTGTTTCTGCTCTCGCCTCAATCGTGTTTACCCTAACTGTCTTTAATGTCACTATTTCAGAACCTCAAGTGCGATCAATAGCCAACCATGTTCGTCCTGACAGACAATGTAAGTTATAAAGGGACTGTTCATTATTTATGCAGCATTACTTAAAGTAACAACATTACACATGAATTTTAACCTCTATTTGCTAGTTGAGATGAACTAGAAAGCTATGCTCCTGATCAAGTGATGATGGAACTTTGTTCCCTTCCTCTCCTCAGTTCAATGTTGACACCTCTGCTTTAAGTTAAATTAGAAGGACTGTGCTTTTATGCACAGGATCTTTACCTAAAGTCTGTTTTTTTATTTATCTTTGCTTCGTCTTAATATGCTACTTACCAGAAAACTATTTAACTTGTGTAGAACAGGATGGTTCTAAGTTCCAACTCTGGGCTTCATACTTCATACGGTCATCCGGCAGCATGCCCAGCTCTGCCATTTTGCATCGAGCACATTATAACAGACAGGGAAAACGGTAATTTCATAACATTTTTAACATTAATTATGACAGCTCTGTAGTATATTATCTGTTATTCGTTTTAGGTCTTTTGTTCAGTGCAACGATGAAAAAGAAAATAGAGCGGCTATGTAGGGATATTCTCACCGACCCTATTCGCATAGTGATTGGAGAAATTGGCGAGGTGAGATTCCTTGTCTGCTCTTTATTTGCTTGACCTCTCTGTTACAGAGTAGCTTCATTTAACTCGTGCTTAGAGTGCAATTAAGGCGAAAACTGTAGCTTGTTAACCTAGATTGCTTGTAAATAAATGTTATTTCTGACATCCAAATACCCACTGAAATAGACATGAAGAAGTCAAGGGGACTAAAGAAAGTCACAGGGGTTTCAATAATGTCAAGGGGACTAGTAACATCAAAAGAAACTAGGGGACTCAGGAGATAAACCTGAAAGTATGCCGGACTCTATTAGGGTAAGAGTTTATCTGCTGGTCATCAAATTTGTTTTCCTCTAGGCAAACGAAGACATCCTGCAAGTAGTCGAGGTCTTTCAAGCACAGGTGCAAAAATGGGAATGGCTGTTGAGTCATATTGTAGAATTTTGCTCAGGTAAACAGCAAGTATATCTGCCGTATTAGCAATGCGTATATTTGAGAAGGCGTCTGTCGTTATGAAGATATCAACGCTTTTTCCAAATTCATTGTTTGCTTGTCTCAAATGTTGAAGGATTGATTCAATTCCCATTGGTTTAGCTGGTCTAAATGCTTTATTATCATTTAGACTTAGCTATGTAGTGACGAATTTTCGTTGAATGCACCTTGGCAATTTTCCTGTAATTTCCAATAGGCAGTTTATGAAAGCAGAGGGTTGCAAGCGTGAATAATATTTTCAATGTTGAGTAAAAAGAAGTTTTGTATTAGTCTGAGAAGAGTCAGGTGAAAACACCCATCCTTATTTTTACAGGAATTTTTCGTTGTTCTGTGGGGAGATGAGGTCGATTCTTCCTAACTGATTGCATTTTTTGATATACTGCATATTTAATTTTAGGTGGAAGCGTCCTGATATTTGTGACGAAAAAAACCAACAGCGAAGAACTTGCGAAGAACCTGCGGGAAAAGGGGCATGAGCGTAAGTGGTTTTTTCATGCTTTTTCTAAAACAAGTTGTATGTTTTATGCTTACTTAGAAGTAGGATCTATGCTTAGGGAAGCACAGAGGCTTCGCAGCAGGGATAGTGGAGCGTATCATGGATTGGGGGAGGGGGATGCCTAACATGCAAACTGCCAAACGCAATATTATTTTTGTATTGTTTTGAGTACTGTTTTGAAGTTTATTAGGGGAGAGGGTTTAAGCCCCACAAGCAACCCCCGCTTGCTTGATTATTGCTTTGCAGATAGTTTCTTAGGATATGTGTCATGAAAAGTGTAAAGAAATGATTATAAATCGAATGTTTATCCAATCTTTCAAATTATTTTGTCTTTTTGTTTCTTGATGATTTTACGAATCTATAGTTTTGTGGAAGAATTTTTACTTCTCGATAGATCTAGGGACCAAGGATTGAGATTGAGAAGTGAGAATTAACTTTCAGTTTAAGGATGCCTTCAACGTTTTCCTTTTAGTTGGTTTGATTCATGGTGACTTCGATCAGTATGAAAGGAATCGAGTGTTGAGTGAGTTTAAAAAAGGCGATTACCCAATTCTTGTTGCAACAGATGTTGCTGGTAAGTGAAATTGCCATTACTGTTAGCAGGTAGTTTAGGCCACCTTTTCAAGCAACATTAGATGTCTATCAATTGGCCACAAGAACACAATTATGTGCCCGTCTCTTGAACAAGGGGTAGTCAAACAGGCGCCCTGTTCTCGGAATCCTCAACCTTTGGACCGGATAGTTGTTTAGATATCAGAAATGCTCCTGGCACGCAATTCTTTCACGGAGACCTGATTAACATTTTAATGGGCACAAAATGGAGGGCAAAAGAATGATAACCAATTACTGACATCCTGTTTTCTACTGCCGAAATCCTAGTTTGATTGACGGCATCAGTAAGGGCTCTTTGTCGATTTTTTCTTGTCGTCTTATAGTAAGCATAAGGTTGGAAAGTATTTTATTTTGCTTGTCACTCAAGGTGGGCTTGAATTTTCAGTCTACAAAGCATTTTTTGGTAACCGACGCTTTTATCATAGGGTAATTTCTTGATATAGTTGAGTAGACTTTTGTGTCGCAATTCTGTTATGGGCTTGTTTTTACAAGATATCCGTTACTCACTCTTATGAAAATGTTCGTAACCCAAAAATCTTGAATTCTTTGCGTAATTTCCAGGAGGAATTTTTATGTCCAAATATTCTAATTTCATAAATAGCTTTTATCTCCTCGAGTTAAATTACATTATCTAAACACAATTTTCTTATAACCTGGCTTTAGTTAAGAAGCTTTGATGGTTCTTGCAGAGTGTCTTTGCTGAGAGTGAAAAGACCGTTCTGCCACGCTAATTCAAAGAGTAGCCTACTCGAGACGACTTTTCACAGTAGACAGATTTTGTATTTTTGAAAGGCCTAATATATCGATTTTGATTTTCAGCTCGTGGGTTGGATATCACTTCGATAAAAACTGTGGTAAACTATGATGTCGCTCGCGATATCACAACACACACTCATCGAATAGGGAGAACTGGCCGTGCTGGTAAACTTGTCTTGTCTGTTTTGATTTTGCCATTTATCTTTAATGACAAAATATTAATTATTTATAACTTTGTCTTTATATTGAGACATAGATATAAACCGTATAACAATATTTGAATTTGATTTAATCCTTAAAATTGCTATGTCTTGCAGGTCGTTGCTAATTTCCAGTTTTATCATTCCTGTACGTCTGTAAGCTAAAACCTGTAATTATGCTGTTGGAACCTGGCAAAAGTTTTTGCTATCCCTGTTATCCTTATATCATGTTCTTTTGTGGGATTTTGCTCAATTTAACGAGAAATCGAAGTATTTTGTAGTCAACCTTTCAGGCGTTAAGCATCCCTGAACAGTTTTAATCGGTGGCTTGTCGCCAGTCATCCAGCTTAAAAATGCTATGACTCGTGCCAAAATATTTTGAATATTATGTAAAATATGCTATGTCTACAATCCATTTTATATTGAAATTAAATTAACAGCAGCTTTTATTAGATTTGTTTTGGTTGTTACTCTCTTAACAAGTTTAGAAGGTGGCTGGCAATCTACAAGCAATCACTTGTCTTTTTTAAATTTAGTAATTTTATATAATATTGAGCTTATGCAGATGTTTGTTTTGTAATGAACGATATCTAGCGATTGATCAGTCGGACGGCCTAATGGTTGGCTCCTCTTTATCTTGCCTGTTTAGACGTTTTCTTGTTAGATTTCTCCTCTCACTTTGCAGCAAAATTTGACAGTATTTTCCATTTAGCTAAATCAGAATTGTATGTATATACTTTTTAACTTTAACAAACTCAAAACTTCCTTCTTCTTCACCGCCAGGAGAGAAAGGCATCGCATACACTCTTATCACTCCCGCTGATCAAAACTTCTCGGGTGATCTGGTTCGGAATTTGGTATGTAAAGCACCTTCTATTTTGTTTCCATTTTTAACGTTTTCACGCTCGGATTCTGCTTTGAGACATTTGAGAGCTAGTCGTGATAAAACGGTTATTCTGAGAAGCGAAATCAGTGAAAATAATGTCGTTCAAGTAATGAGGCTTTAAATTTCTCATGTTGGAGCACCTTTCGAGTGAAGTGTGAAACATTCATTGGCAATGGCAGGCTTCCATCAATGGTTGTGGCTCTGCCTTTAAAGTTGCGTGTACATAGCGGCTCGGTGTCACGGAGGGCATTTTTTATGAATACAATAGAAACTGCATTTCTAATGAATGAAACCAATGCTTCAAAAACAATTAACAGCTTCGATAGTTTTGAATCTTCTTGTACTCCATGCACGTCTTTCTTTGCTCCTTTTGGTTTTCAAACCTATTTCATCTCTCCAAGATGATACTGGAAGACGAAGGAGTAAATATACAATTTTCAGCCAGGGATATGAGTATTTGATAAATTGACAATTCTCAGCCAGGGCTTTGAGTATTATGTAAAAACTGAGGAAAACAGTTTCCTAATTATCCAAAAATAGTTCGTAATTCAGATTTCAATTTTATGTTGAATGCAGACAAAATCTGTTTCGCACAAATTCATTTCATTTAACTAATTTCTTTGCAAAATGTCGCTTTCGATAACATTTTTTAAAGTGGTTTTTCTGATAGGCAAAGTTTTACATTATTACATCAAAACTGAAAGGTAAAAAATATTTCTAAAGGGTTTATATTAAGATAAATACGCTATAGTCCCATTGAGATGATTGCAAAGTCTGTATGCAGAAGGGTTTCTTAAGAGGGGTTTAAAGTGAAGCTTCATAATCTTTGAGAGCAATGTCCAGGGTGCCCTTATCTTCAACCCCTCTGCCTACAAGAACCTTTGAAAAACACTCGGTCAAGAGGTCTCAGAATATTTCAGATTAATCATAGATCTTGCTATCTAAAATGGTGTCAAACAGATAAGCTTGCCAGGTTTTGCGCGTTGTGAAGATAAATGGGGTGGGTCCAAGAAATGGCTTAGAGATCGAGTCACAAAAAGTATGTAAGATAAGTCAGTCAAGGTAAGCGGCGTCCTTTGGTTTGAATGTGTAATGCTAACTCCACTTGAAATTTTCACAAAGACTAGATATGTACTCGAGTGTGCACTGCGTAAAGTAAAGCAAACTATTTATACACTGAGGACACTTCTATCATTTCTCGCATATCTTAATAGACCTTTGCCTCTACCGAAATGTTCTTACCTTTTCACTAGAATGCTTCTTATTGTCTCATGTTTTTGGCTGATGAAGGAGTACAGCTTGAATAATTATATGTGTCATCATCATTGTTATGATGAAAAATACATCATTCATAATCTTTTTCATCATTTATAATCCATATTATCTCTATCAGATTAATATTCATTTTCATTTTTTATGATCAAGCGCTGTGAAATGATTGTTCTCACTGTGTTTATTTGTATGTCTGTTAGCCTCTAGCTTTATGTATTTCTCTACCAGGATTAAACATAACGTGATTCACATTAGCTTTGCTTTGCTTTACTTTACTTTACTGGTTGTATGAAAAATGCTCACTTTTGTCCGCTACCCATGACTCAAATAAATTTTTTTGCCTGACTACTATATGAGTACTTGCTTCTTGCCTGAACCCAAGTTTCATGGTGGTAACCGACTTGGGTTCTTCTATTTCTTAGACTTTCTTAGATTCTTTCTTAAATTCTTCTAAGATTCTTAGGCTATCAGCCCCGATTATTATGAGCAATTACTTGTTTCTCACACGTCTTTTGCAAAACGAATGCCTTTTTGTGAGTAATTGATCCGAATTTAGCGTCGACCCGCTGACAATTTCTTTACCCGATTCAAATGGAGTACATTCATGGATCAGTTTGTGAATGGACCGCATGCTTGAAGGAAACCCTAACTGAATAGAAATCCCGCCTCTAATTGCACAATGACACCTGTATTTGTTGCTTAGTCCACGGTAGTCTGTATTTTGTTTTTGCTTTGTGATTTCACCAAGGTTACTTCATAGCAAGATCGATCTTTACAGTATTTCTATAAATTTTCTTCAGATAGATAAATAATAAGGTTTTTATAAGTTTGTAATTAAGAAAGAAGACATTTTTTTGCCTTTTTGCAAAATCTTGCAAACGTTTTTGTTATGCAATAACCCAGTCGCTCTTTGTCTAAAATCTTTGCTTTGATCCAGTTAACCTTCGTTTGCCCGATCATATTCTCTTTTCGAAAAGCTATAGCTAACTTGCATTAGAACGATTCAGTTGTCAATCTGATGATAAGATATATAAAAGAAATCTCACGAAATCTGCAATTCTGTGCGAAGCTTAACAGTTATTTCTGAGGGAGCTAACTTCACAACGAGGTTGTGGCATCCAAAGCTCTGTTAAATCGGAGTGCTTACCGATCTGAAATTCGGAATTTTTTGAGTAAAATTCCTAAGTACAGCTTGACCTGTCTGTATGCATGCAAAAAATCATGCAAGAAATACAAAAAATCTTTGAATGTTGGAATATTTCTCGTAATATGCTTCCACTGGCGCAGAGCAATCATACCTTGACGAGAAATGATTGCTTCTTATTTATTTACTAAGTGTTACTGCGTGAGTTGCCTATCCCCCTTTCAGCTCGCACAGCTATGTACAGCTCACGTTCATAGTGGCGATGCGGACTTCGAAATGACAACATTTCCTATGCAGCCTAGACAGCCTGTTCTTCGTCTTTCCATCTGTCCTAGAAGTTGTCTTGTCTAGGTATGTCTTGCTAGGCCAGAACAAAGCAGCTCAGCTGCGTACGAGTCCGAGGCACAATGTCGATCAACCATTTCATATACAGGGTCCCAAAAAGCATTATTCCAATTTAATATTTATTTGACGATTTTCTATGAAGCATTTAAGCTGTCTCCGCTCGTTTCCCGCTCATGCACGTCGTATCGGGCCTTATCACAAATTATTTCGAATTATTTCCCAGTTATTGCCTTGCTCAACGAATCAAAGAGTTTATTTCAAGATCATGAACCTTAACTGGCGTTTCTTGGAGTTCAAACAGTCACCGCCTTGTTAAATAGCTACGGGTGTCTTGAATTTCTTTTGGAAGTCTGTTATACCATAATCGCTCTCTTTATCATATATAAATATTTTCAAAATAATAGCCGAATTAAAACTGAATTAAAACGGAGTTCATCAGTTAACCCACGATAAAGCACTGCAGATGACAAAATGAACAGTATAACCCAAGTTGATTTTAATATGTGACTGATTCGCCGTTCAAAAGCTTTTCAGTTATGATTCTCAATGAATTCTATCTGATAGCAGATGGAGAGATTCCGGGTGATGATCTGTTGTTGAACCTTGCTCGCTGTAACTCTATAATTTCATACACCTCTGCTACTTTTCGCATTAAACGGCTGGTATATTTCTTATCACGAAATTCGATAGCTGAATTATAACTACCAGCAATGAAAACCTTATCATTTATTTGGCAACAGTGAGTTACGCAATTATCTTACTCAGGTGTCTTCATTTCAGATAAATCAACGTTTTGTTTCCATATCAATCTTCACATCCCTGTTAGATAATCTAATGTTAAATCCAATTATTCCTCTTCTGTGTCTGTAGCCTCTATCTTTGCTGTCACTTTTTTGTACAAAATCGTGAGCATCAATCAGTCTTCAGGGAAAATCTTGGTTAAAGTCATATTCTACTCGATATTTATGTTGCTGACTGGCAGCTATTCTGACGTATTCATCGATTTGAAGAGAATGATGTTGTAAAACCATCTGAACTGAAAATCAATCCCCATTTTTACATCGACTTTGAAAGGTGTCGATGAATTTTGTCAGTAACAGATGGCAACTTATACTGTCAGTAACTTTTTTTCGAGGTTTAATTGTTTTAATTGACAGTTCTTACGAAGGCGTTCATTTCAAGGCGTTCCTTCAAGCTCATACAATTAAGCCTGCTGGGTATCCACTGTTATCGTACGGGAGACCGTGCTGCAAGCCATTTATTCCAAAAATCTGCAACTTAATTGCTTATCTTTTTCCTCATACTATGCGCTCTTCTTTATTAACTGTTCTTTTTTGTTTGCGCAGTATTTGCGTTAAGCAACCATGTGACATTGCCAATTGAAATCACTATGCACCACCTAACATTGATTTCTGAGCAACGATTTTTCATTCACCAAGCAGAAATCTGTTTATTCAGCTTTAGGCTCCAATTATGTTATAAAATATGTCGTTATTTTCAAACCTTTTTTATTTGAGGTACGTTGAAAATGAGAAATTTTGTGTAAACTGCAATTATTACACGTGTTACAATGAGCTCCGATATTTGGTTGAATTGTTCTAAGAGACGCGCACTGTTTTATTTCGAATCTGTGGAACCTGCTGCTAAATCTAACCTGTAATGCCAAAAGATCTCTTAAATAAACATGAATTCAATAAGATTGGTCATTCATTTAGCGGAGCAGCCATTCATTTTAGAAAGAAAGTTTCGCACTGTTGAGAGTTTTCTACACTGAATATATGTATTATACTTAACTATTTCTTATGTTAGATATATATGTATTTTTCTTTTTTTTCTTTTTAAACAATTTTACTTTGTAGTAGGCACGTACTTCAATACAAAAAAACCGAAGGATCTTTGATCCTGCTTGTAAGCTATATTATTAAAGATTGTCCTGTGTAGTGCAGTTTTTTTCAAGCAGATGTAAAATATTACAAGCTCCAAGTATAATTTTAAGCAACGATTGTGTAATTATCTTTCAAAGTTTCATATTAATTTCCCCAGCTCTATATCTTCTAATTTTTTCTTGGTGCTGTCATACAAGGGGAAGAATTTTACTGTTTACTAATAAGTGGTTAATTCGCTTTGTTTCATTTTGTTGTTGTCAGTTTTTGTTGTCAGTTTGCTGTCACCAGTTTGTTGTTTAGTTGTTTTTAACGTTCCCGCATTAAATTTTCTCCTATATCATTAAGCAAACGGGCGTTATATATTCTTAGGCCTAAGTTAAATGTCAACTTCTCATTTGCCGAACCTGTTGCTTGAATTAGGAGCACTATGCATGAATTACGAATATGGTGACAGTAATTTATTTTGTGCTTAAACGAGGCAGTGCATGCGCAGAAATGATATATCTGTCTCGTTATTATCTTTCTTTCTCTGATATATCTCACAGCCTTAGAAGAAGGTTTCTAAAAAAGGCATTGGAATTCATCTTTCTTAAGATCCTTCTTTAGCAGGTTCGTTTCATCAGCACGAGTCTTTTCATCAACAAGATTCCTATTGTTCCTTGTTGTTGTTTGTTATTTTCTAAAAATAAAGGCGGTAATAGAGTTGAATTATTGAAAACTGTAATATCTGCCGGTGATAGCTGCATCTTTTTGCTGCTGCAAAGTCCTTATTTATCAACATATGTCTATGTAATGAAGGAGTTTTAATCAGTATAAATGTTAGCAATTCTACGCATCGCTTGGAAACGGTTATGATATGCTCAGGTCGGTGAAGTTGTCGTTGAATCTCTACTCACCGCTGTCAGTGTGATGTCATTGTTCATTTTAATGTGACGTGAATCAGCATTCATGCAAACAGAGAATGCTTTCTGCTATTGACTCATAGAAACGTCTTTACAGAAAGACATGAATATATGTGTTTTGTGCTATGCATTAGTACCTTGAATGAGAATCCATTAGCACCACTGGAAGATGTGCTGAGATGAAGAAATGCATACAAAGCACGTCGTTCACTCACCAGAAGCAGAGGGAAATGTTTTTATCAATGAATCACACGTGAGGTTTTTCTAACTCATTTATGGTGAAGCTGAAAGTAAATTTTTGGACGCATTTCATTTAGAACCAGCTGAATCAATCCCTATGACACCAACTTGTTTAGATATACCTGTTGGGAGAAATCCATTTCTGCATTAAACCAAAGGAGATCTCCTCTTGGTATCGAGAAGTTTACATTGCTTGTCAGTGGCTGTAGTATGAAAGTTTCCGTTATTAGTCTCAGTCAATAGGAATGCAATCAAAACTATTGTTTATCAATACATTTTGCATGAATGTACATCGCTGATACCGTGGAATTATAGCTTTTAAAGCTTTTCATCATATGCACGTCGTTATCTGTTCAAACTTCAAATTCAGCATTAATCAATGCTTGTTGCATTACTGTTATCGAGTTGACATTGACTGCATTTCAAGATTTTGCCAGTCAGTTTGCTTACACCTAAAGGCTGCTTAGTTGTGCAGAGTAACACTGAAGTTATGCTGCGATAGTTTTCTATTCAAAGTTTTTCACGGTTATTACCTGAATGCCTGCTAGGAAAATCGTCTAAAAACCGAACTTTCAAGCTTGGGAACTGCCTACAAGAAGTATCTTTGTGGACCTTAAAAGATAAAGCGCAATTCGGAATGTTTTTATCTGCTGAAAATGGAATCCGATAAAAGCTGACGCTGAATGGATTCTCTGATTTAATCATGGGAGACTTGTATATCCTGGGCTTGATCCATCTACATTATTTCTGATTTATGTATGATTTGCTCAGTGAAGACTTGGATTCGTGTGAACGATCGAAGCAAAAGGACTGCAGGTCCGTGGGGAGTAGCTTTAAACAGATTAGTCAAAGTGTCCGATGATCTATTTTATCGAAGACGGTGACTTGAATGCAGCATACGCTCGTGATCGTCAGTGCGCGTGGAGGTCATTAAAAGAGACATAGGAAGGTCACATAGAAGAAGAGGACAGGGGAAACTTGACCAATGCAGCAGACAGTGTCAAGCATTGACGTTTAAACTGCGTAATCATTCACTCATGCAACCTGTTAGCGTGCTCAGGACTGACGTTGCTTCACTAAATCGTTGCTACTGAATACCTTGGTCATCGAAACATAAGTATTAATAGTGAGTAGTGAATTTTTTGATAGCAGGTATCTTGGCTGAGAACGACAATCCCGCTGGCCATTGCCAGTTTCATGATGTCACTACCCATCAAATACTACGATATTGATTGAAAGCAGGACCTTCAGGGAAGACCAGGTGTAAGAATTGACTCGATTGCTTCTAACTTATTTGTCCAGTGGATGCACCTGGCCCATCTGGGCCATATTTTACGTCGCTTAAGATGGTCAGGTGAAGGTATTTATAGTTGTTGCCAATGGCGAATGAATGTACCTCGCGAAAATAATTAGAAAGAGCGCAAATACAACTCAAAAAGAATTAGAAATCTTTACAGACAGGCAGGATAAACAGTTACTTTTAAACAGAGTCTCCGTGTTAATATTTAATTGAGTTTAAAAGAAACATTGACATTTTCAAATAAGCAGACCCTTGACGACACAAGGGGATTTTGCAAAAGTATTGATACAGACCAAGGAAAGTATCTCTCGAACTTCAATTTAATTTAATTTGACAATTGAAAAAACTTATTTATCAACCGCATATCAATTTAAAGATGCCATATAGATTTGCCATAGATATGTCGATCTTGTAATTTCCTTTACGCCGAATTCGCAAAACATTTTGCCACACATCAACAGTGCCGGATTCTAATTCAGTGGGAAGATCGTAGATTTTGGAACTCAAAGAATTGCCTTTGACCTCAATGAATTGCTTTTGACCAGTAAATCGCAAAATGGGAATCTGCTCACCTTACCCGAGTTTTGCAAATGTTTTGCAAATGTTCATGGAATGTACTTTGTAATTCCGATAACGCTTGTATCGGCAGTGGTCGCGTTAATTGGTAATATATTGGTAGTAATAGTGATCATGAGAAGGGAGCCGTTGCGTTCGCAGTCTGCCTACAAATTCATAACTTCACTTGCCATTGCAGATATTCTCGTCAGCTCGGTCGCTCAGCCTCTCTATGTGTCTGTTCTGATGTCCGGGTCCGGTTCCTATTGCTGGCTGGAACGTGTTAGCCATTTTTTTGGGTCACTAGCATCCAGCGCATCTGCACTCGGTCTCCTGATCGTCAGTATCGATCGCTATATATTCATCACAAAGCCGTTGCATTACCATTTTCTAATGACACCCTTCCGAGTTTGGTTTGCCTTGATATACATCTGGGTGAGCGCTGTGCTTATTTCACTGCTTCCCTATATGGCTGGAAAAAAGGCATTTCATATTGTTGTGTTCTCCGCTACAATATTGGACCATTTTGTGACAGGAGTTTGCTACTTGACCATCTACCGTGTAGTTACGATGAAAGTTAGCGACGATCTCATCAACAACCAGAACAAGTCCCACCGCCAGCGCCAGGCAACCAGGACTGTCGCTTTCGTCCTGTTAGCAATGGTCATTTGTTGGATGCCCTACATTACAGCGTCATTCGTATGGGGAATCAACATTGAAAAATGGGCACCAGATTCGGCAATGATTTCTGTCTACTTTTGGTTGCTAGCATTAGGGCACTGGAATTCCTCTGTGAACGTAATGATTTACAGTTGGAAAAACACGGAGCTACGCTCCTCCTTAAAGTCATTTCTCGGCATTCGATCACAAGAAAACGAGAATCTGTCATCAAATAACCATAACAACTCCAATCAGAATCAGATAGCGCCCCAAAAAGCTATTAATCAAAGCCGCCCAGAAACACTGACGGTTGAATCGCTTGTTTAAAACCCCTGTTATAAGGGAGCTAAGGGAGCTAGAGTATCTTTTCTTAAATCGAAAATGGAATAATTCTTAGAAAAATAGAAGGCAGACTTTAAATTGGTGTATATAGCAGATCCTACTGTTTGGGTAAATGATCTATCGAAACGATCTATTCGAGTCACGTGTTCTTTTGGAACATACATTGGCGAAGAACAAACGAGCACACTGCTAGGTCGATGGACGTTTTACTTACTGGTGGAAGAATATTTAGCCATCTAAGTACTGCTTGCTAAGCATAGCTCCAATTGATTGTACCATGGGGCTATCAATTACATTTAATGAAACAGTATGCTACTAGCCTACTCTTGGTTAGAATTACGTTACATTTTATGGCGTGCCTGAATACCACATGAAGGTCTTATCCTTGATATTCTTGCAATACCTTAGCAACCAGCCGGGGATATTGGCGTGTTAGAAATTGTTTATAAAATATTTAGAATAAAAATTGTGTGTATTGATTCTGTTTCCAAGGTAACTCCGCTATTTCGGAGTCACAATCAACCAGATTAAAAGCAGTGATGTGAGATTAAATTTCTCGATTGCTGTTTTATCGCTGGTTAATAAATTCTCACAGTATCGTTGTATTATTATTGTTACATTTAAGTGCGTTGTACACGGTTTTTTAACATACTGTTAAAGCCCTGCATTTAGGAAGTTTTCTAATTTTCTAAATGGAAGAAAATTTTGATTCCCGTTAATTATGTTGGAGATTTTATCATTTTTTGTGTTTTGAAAAAATAAAATAAGCTTCAAGCTTTCTTGTACGCTTTGGAAATCTCCAGTGGTTTAATGACGTCTCTTGTGTGATGATTACGATGACGGTGCTTGAGTAGTATACAAAGAAGCTTGCTTTGTTGTTTCCCAACTTGATGTTGTTTTGTCTACAAACGTAGAAGATTTTTTTAGTTCCACGAGTAGCTTTTGGTGATTAAACGATAATGTATCAATAATCCGAAAGTTTTTTCGCTGTTAGTTGCTATTTAGTGACGATGATACAGTAGAAACCCGTATAAAAGAACCCAGGTTTTTTCTGGCAGCCTGGATAGGTTCTTAATTAACAGGCTGCTATTCTAAATTCCAGCCTGTAAGGTTCTTATATACGCACAGGCCTTGCACACGTTAACAGATTTTTCCACTGCAAGATTTCTCACTGACACCAGCTATATATTTCATGTTTTACTTCAACCAATCAAATGATTTGTCTCGTTTGGTTGTCCAGTTAGAATGCAACATACCATAACCTAGGTTACTTTAAGCTGGTTTAATTTGCTAGTGTGAATAGGGTATAAGAATACAATTCTTAATGTTGTTTATTCTTATATATAAATATAACAACATTTACAAGTTTCAGGCTCTTAGGGGTTCTTATCAAGGGGGTTTAAAAGATTAAATTTCAGCCTTAAGGTTCTTTTAAAAACAGGTTAGACCTTTTACACGGGTTTCTACTGTAGCTTATATTGGAATTCCAACAGTATTAGATCTTTTTTGGTACCAGGCACTGTTTCACTGTGGAGACATTGTAACATTAATGTTCATTGACCAGGGACGCCTGAATACATTTTGGGGTAAGGGCGCTCTAGACCAATTGGCAATTTTTATGGTAGTTTTTCTACCATTACCCCGGCTCCGGCGTGCCTGTAAACTAGGTAAGGAAGTGTCATCCAATACACCTCTTTACATAGTCATAAATTCAGCAGTCATAGCAGTAAGCTGTTCTGATAGGCATCTGTCATTTTCTCACGTTGCTAATGCACCGTCGTTGGCACTTTCATAGGGACCGTCGTAGCCACCGCCATAGGTCTCGTCGTAGACAACTTCGTAGGCACATTTGTAGATAACTTCATAGGCACAGTCGTAGACATCTTCATGAACACCGTTGCGGACAAGTTCGTAGGCAACGTCGTAGGCACCGTTGTAGACAACGTCATAGGCAACATCGTAGGCACCGTTGTAGACAACGCCATAGGCAACGTCGTAGGCACTATTGTAGACAACGTCATAGGCAACATCGTAGAATATGTAGTAGTTTGGCAGCATTGCCTTGGATTATATTGACGCTAAATTTCGTAAGAGCATCGTAAAAACTGTAGTTTAATCTAAAATTGTTTTTGTTATTATGGTTTTTAACCATGAACTGCAGCATAGCTGATAGTCTGTTTTAATTAACTAGATAATAACTTTGAAAAATTATGAATTTTTTATTTTCAGGAACATATATGTTCTGTTAAGAAATTAATATATAATAACTGTAAATAGATATTAAGTTATTAAAACTCAAGCAATGAATAATGTTTGAGAGTGTGTCTTTGTCTGATTATGTTTTTCTCTTCTGTTTGATGAGTTGTGTCTGCCAGTTTTTCTCAAGCTTTAGAGTCTTATGATCCCTAATGAATGATATTTCATGATACGCATCTCCTTAATGAAACTGCCTGTAACTTACAAAATGTTGGCTTGAAATGATGTAATCAAATTGTCTACATGCTGCCTAGGCATTCCTAACGCTTCGAAATTGCTTGTTACAACTCCCTTGTTCTACCTGCGTATTGCCTGCAAAAAATATCTTATTGGATAGTATGGTAAAAGTATCCTCATTACTCATCCAATGAGAGTTTGAATTTCGGTCCCTTCAAATCTTGCGGTTTTTGTGCAAGAATCCAAGTATTTTATGTTCTTAAGTGACCTTCTCGGTTCATTTGGATAAGATTTACCACGTGGGTCGCCGTTCATCCTTTACAAGACACCAGCAAATCAACATTTATTTACAATATACAATTAAAATCCCATAGAATTATCATCAACCAGATTAGAAAAAAACAAAATTCCAGATTTAGAGTACGTACTTGATTCTGTACATCTGCACACTCTTCTTGCAATCCATTTGGGCCCCCCATAGTGGTTGTGATTCACGCATTCACGCATAATTTTTTGACTTTTCACGCATTCAAGCACTGCAAAATTGGATTTTCACGCTCACGCAAACAATAAATGTGATATCAGCTATTGCTCATCAGAGCCCTGTTTGAAGGACTACAACACTATCTTCAACCTCAAAAATTCTAGTTTGAGATTGAGCTAGTTTGAGATGAGGGGGGCCATCAATAACTTCAGATAGCGAATCTTCGCTAGTAATGAAATTAAATGGTTTGCATATGTGTTAAAGTCTTGCTGGTTAGAATTAGCAAATCATATTGATTCATTAGAGCAGGGCCTTTTTTAGCATACAAACTAGGGGGGCAATTGCCCCTGCAGTCCCAATGATTTTCTATTGTTTTAAACAATAGTCCTTCTCAAGAATTCCAATGCCCGCCTGGTTTCTACTGGAAGTCTAGAGGTTTCTATTGCAGTGAATCCAGCGCTTATTAGTGTTGGTAACATACGGCTTCGCGTTCGTGTTCAGCTTTAATCTTAAAGTTGAAATTGCTCATTTGTTGTCATTTTCAACACCTTTTATTTTTGTCCATTTTCCATTGTCAGGAAGGAGCCAATCAAAGGGTTCCGGAAGAGCTGATGGACTTAGCTATGAAGGTATTCGATCAAATTTTGATTTCAAATCATTGGGATGGAGACAACACTAGTGCAGATATTAATGCAGCCCCTTGAACTGAACCTAATTTAATAACTACCACAATATTGCAAAACTATCATTTAATAATTGTGCTCAATATTGGCTCGCTTAATTTTCTTTTTTCAGCTTATTTTATGTTGTGTAGCAATGCTTCTCTCACTGTAATGTTTTGTCACACCTGCCAGTTACGAATTTTCTGCGTAAAGATACGTTTGTATTTATATCAGGGAATTATGAAATTAATATTTACTGGCTTATGACTTTATTTTTTCTGATGTTGAAGAGTTAACATGTTAAGATGAAAAACAGTTGTTTTATAGAATGGCCTTTGCTCTGCCAGTTGTCACATGCGTAGGTCATTGGATAGTCAATGCATAATACTAGCTTTTTGCAGTTTTTCTATTAATCTTTATTCCTTGATTTTGCATTTTATCTTTCTAGAATGCATGGTTTAGAAAAGCAAGAGCGAGGCAAAAAAGCAAGAGCTCTTCAAACAAAGAATTCCGGCCTCGAGATCGTCCTGGCCTCGGACACACTGGTATCCAGGATGCATTAGCACAGATAGATAACGTATGTTTTGCGAATTCCCAATATTTCTTTTCAAATTCTATTCCCTTCTTGTCATTTTCTTCGATTTAATTTGTACTTTTTGCCACTACTGAAGATTTGTTTTCATTTTTTTCTGATAGGTATTAGAAGGACTAGCTTGTTATCTGGATAGAATTGCTTTAATTTGTTTCCTGGTGAATGCCAAGATCCAAGTTTCACATTTATGTCAAAATACGCAAGCAAACATACTGTTTCTAGTAAACAAGCTTTCCAAACATTCTGTCCAATTGAATAGGCTAGACTGGCCAAATTAATTCCTTAATTCTGCTGTTGTTGCCTCCTCGACGACTGTTTTTGCATCTGCGATAATTTCACCACACCTGTCAAACCTAAAGAAACAGAGTAACACTATTTTTGTGAAATTAATTTGTAAAATCATCAAATGTGTATTGCATTCATACATTTTACATAGAACTAATTTTTCTGTGAAAAGTTGCTCATATGAATAAAATCTCAGTAAAAGACACTTCAATAAAATTCTTGTTAATAATTCTCTTTGTTGTTTCAAATTTCCGCCTTTCTTTTGAATATTTATGAATGGTCGCTCTTTGCATCAATACAAATATTGTATATGAAATGTTGTTTTTTTAATTTGGCTTTTTATTTCATTTTTATTCACCTAAGATACGGAATATGTTAGGTGAGATATGTAATTTCGACTAGGAATCATCTCACTCTTTCAATCTCTTTATAAGTCTGTTCACAAGTGATTTGGGATGATTATCTTGATTTGATTCTTCCTAATGAACATTTTGGTATGCTGATCTTTATTTATTCCGGTAAAGCGAACAGAAGCCTCAAGTTATTTCTACTTGCCGCTTAAGTTTGTTTTGACAGTGCCAAAAAACATTCAAGCGGCTCTTAAAAGTAAGGAAATTCCTTGCTGTATTACGTTCAATATCCTCCTTGCTTTGACAGTTATTTGAGAACTTACAGAGCTACTCAAATGCTACTTGTATTTACAGCTGAAAACCGAACCTCAAAAGAGTTTATGCATAGTTATGCTGAATATGGATCTGTTGTTTACGTTTGCTGCTTTTGGTATTTTTTGTATTGTTTTAGATGTAGAACTGGCGATCTGGTGACTGGTTATGAAATTGGTGGAATCCCGCCTTTCCACGGGGTTGCTTCCATTTTGAATCGCATCTTTTTGTGTGACTCTCAGCACTTCCGCGGGATATGTTCTGCGTGGAACTCGGCATTAGCGCGAGACACTTCTTTGAAACTCAAGTTGTTTCTTTTTCATACATAAAAAGAATAAAACATAAGAAGATTTCGTTGCTTCTGCTTTTAGTTAGGAGCCCCAGAGAACATGGGAAAAGGACCCGGCGAGCAGGGGAACATGGCCAGAATTAAAAAAGAAACGGGAAAAATTTGGGATTTATCTAGGGATCAAAGAAATTTTTGTCTGTCATAATATATTACAAACTCATCCTCATTAGCATTTGTTAGTTTTAGAAAATTGCTATCAAACTGTATAGTAGTGGCATACGCACTCTATGAAGGGAATTTTTTGATAGCAGTACGTGTGTGAAACGTTACAGTTGTAGACTACAACATTTAATAAAAATTCTAGCAATTGCGATAGAGCAAAATTCAAAATTCGACAGAGTGGTCCTCGTGAATAATAGAAAGGTTGGAATTTAAGAACTATTTCCATCTATAACAAATAGAACCTGCTTCATGTGGGGACCCACATATGTCAGCTAGTGGCGCGATTTGAACCTATCCTTGTGGTCCCGTTAAAAGGCCTAGACCGATGTCCAAATTGTAACTTTTCAAAGGAAGCTGAACCGTCGAAATTAACCAATAACGTTAAAATCCATACCAGTAGTCTGTTTCATAAAAATTTGAAGGCTGTTGGCAGGGCCTTCGTTAGTGCACCTATCGTTTGTCGCTTTGCTTCTAGCTTACCTGTATTGCGATAAACTCAAGAAGTATCACCTCTCCTCAAAACGTAAACAACAGACCACTATGCTTTTCTTTCTTTTGCCTTGAGATATTAACACTACTATGTTTTTGCCTCGAGATCTACGAGTATTCGGCTTAATTAAATAAGTATTCGTCTAAAATTGATCACTTAATTGCAGACACCGTTAGATGAAGATGAAGACCTTTCTGAGGGAGGCTTTGGATCATCGACACGAAAAACAACAAAATCTTTGCTGACTTCGTACGCTGCAGCTTCTTCGATGGGTTCTAGTCGACTCAGCAACATCAAATCAGCCTTTTCGGTACAGTTCAATATATTTGCTTCTGTTTGTTCATGAGTCATTTAAGGCTTACCCTTTTACAGTCTATCGACAAGTCTACACAGATGAGAAGAAGCAAAATATTTCTATCTTTAACAAGGTTTTATGTTTGATTCCTTCAGCTTCAAAAAACGTTTATCCGAACTTTCATTCTAAATTTGATTCTTTTTATCGAATGTTGAATTGAGTGGACTTGTGACAATTTACAGGTGAATTGTTCATGACTGTGCTTTATATCAGGATGCCATTGGGCCTGATTACAATCAGGGGGCAGTGGGAGTAGGTAACTAAAGCTCAAAATTTTCCCCAAAATCCTGACAGAGTTGCAAAGTTTCTAAAATTTCCCAACGACTTTCGAGCTATTAGGAGAGCTGTTGCCATTGCCCACCTGCTACGGCGCCTATGGTTGCAAATACACTTATAACCGTAGCAGGGTGCACCAAATAAAAACAATTTTAAATTGCTTTTTCACACGTTGTTTTGTTCATGCACTGTACAGGGCAATGTAAAATGCAAAAAACTTTGAGAATATTAAACTTGAAGCAGTTCTTGCACCATGTTCATCCGTTGTTATTGCAGTAATTTCAGTGTTGTTGTAAATGAAGACAAACCAGTGGAAGTGACTGAGCCCCCTTCACCCTAATTTTTATTCTGCGAATTTTATTGCCATCTGACAATCCAGGCCTAAAACATCATGAATTGGTGGTTTTCTTTACAGTTTCCTGTATGCTGCTAAGAGGCAGTATCTTGACAGACATGTATTCTAGCTAAAATAAACTGCTTCGTTTGACATTTTTATAACACGCAGTACCAGCAGCAGAGTTAATAATTATCTTCATGATTTTCAACTTTGACGCAGAAACCAGAATACGGACAGGTCAAAAGATAAGAGTCACCATTAGCTTTAGAATATGAACGTTAATTTGTCTACGCGGTGGTCTGTTTGAAAAGTTTTTATCTGTTTATCTGAAAATGTTTTGGCGTTCATTTGACGTAACGGAAACATGAGGGATTTCGGTACCATCCTTATCTTAGAGAAGAGCTTTGCTCATAATTTTCATTCTGGGTGAGCTACAGCTTTATCGTTAAGTTTAATTAAAGGGGAAATTCCATTTTTCATCCTTTATCGCTTTTGTTTAGTTATTTGATCTCGATACTTTGAATCCATTTATAATTGAGATGTTGTACACAAGGTATTCTAGGCTTCCTCGAATCGAGGTTCCCCTTTTTACTGCATTTCGAAACTCCCCTTGTACTTAGCCTGCCATATGGTCTATGCATCTGACATATCAGAGTATTAAATTTTAAGAGTTTTATTAATCATTGTTTTTTTGTAGTCCTTTTTTGAAGAACAAATTTCAACTATCACCTATCAACTACAGCCAATCTAGAAAATTTGCCTTTATGAAAAATTAGAAAATTTTGTATCATTTTTCATTTTGAAATGTTTAGGGCAAATTGCCCCCAACTCGAGTAAAACTTTGTTTAGACTTAAAAGGCTTAAAAAGGAGCCTTTATTCATTGTACTTTGCCAATTTAAAGTTGCAGTTAAGATGGTTTGGAACTCACTCAGGTCACTCAGGATGCTTTGGAACTCAACCGAAATGCACTTTTTTGAATTGCATGTATATGATGTTACAATCGTTTTAGACTGGATATAGTCGCTTTACGAAGGCTTCAAGCAGCGGGGCCAACACAATGGATGTTGGGTCGCATAACAGCAATGTTGAGTCGCAAATGCCGAAAGCAATGTCGACGTTTCAAGCACCGGAGCCACCAAAAACGAAGAAGACCAAATGGAGTAGATGAAGACAGCAGTTTGTATCAATGTTTCAGTGCTACGCAGCCATACGTAGATGACGGAAAGATGCGTAAGCATTTATGGCATGGTTCATGTGAGCACCATTTACGACACATAGATTCGGTGGTTGAGGTGCTCATTTGACAGAGGACAATCAAAAACCAAAGCTGTTCTGTCAGAATGAGAGTTTGGTGTATTAATGAACGCTTAACTACGGTAAGAATTGTGTTTAAATGGCACTTACAGAAAATGGAAGTAACAAAGTCTTGCAAATCTTTATGAATTCAGTTGGTGCTAGTCGTACCAGTCGCTTGCAACACCAGACTAAATGAAGATTTTTACTGTAGAATCGTTATTATTTTGAAAACGTAAACTGTTTATGCTTGCGTGTGTTTGTCTGCTTTTATTATACACACTGTCATCATTTATGTATTCTCCACTTCGAATTGTCTGCTTTGCGGTGTCTTCAGATTTTTATTACCGAGATTTTCTAATAATGTTCATTTTTTTGGGGAAGGGGGAGCTAAATAGCTCTTACCAACCACTTCCTTCGTGCAAAAAATAATTGATTAACGAATTGGCAAGAAGAACCGTGGTTGGCGCTTTTTGCTCTTGCTAGTCAGATTTCGAGATAAAGTACTAGCTATTTTTGTACAGTTGTTTGCTCAGCATTCCGAAATGTTTGATAAAGCAGGCTTTTTTCGATAAATCTATCGAGTTTTGTTCAAACAAATGTGATTCGTGGCTCATGCTGAAATGTGTCGCTCGATAAAGTGATGGTGAACTATTTGTAAAGTAAATATTGGTTTTCAACTTTAAATGTCAAGGATTTGGTCTTCGTTTTTTTTCAAATTCTGCTGTTGTGCTTTTAGTATCTTGTGCATCACAACACTGCGAAAGTCAATTGCATTGTCATTGTTTTTTATTCTTGTTGACTTGGTTTGTTATCAATTTCGGACACAAATAACGTTGCAAAGTCGAAATTTATTAAACGTTTTTTCTGGTAATAACAGCACCCATCATTTTGCCTTCACAATTCATCTTATTATCGTATAAGAACAAAACTTGCACACGAACAACACAATTAAATTTCATTCAAAAGGAGATAATCCTTTTCTTGCATCGACGTTTGTAATTTTGTATGATTAGCAAGGTCTTACCAAGGAATGCAAAACTTAAATTTCGAACGATTCAACTGGAAACAGCAAAATTGCTATTGCGAGAAGGGAACCTGGAAATACATTTAAAAAGCGAACTTCTTTTCAGAAGTTTTTGCAGAATAACTTGATCATCACTAGAGAATTTTACTGATAAATTAACGATATGTTATGATCTCCCAAACAGCGTTTATATTTCATAGGGTGAGATATGAAAAAACTTTAGAAATTTCGTTGAGTTTACCATCGCATTCAAATGTGGTTTTTATCTTTTTTGTGAAGTTTTTCCACAGCTTTGGGCGTGTTTTTTATTCATAGCTTTTTTCAAGTATGCTGGAGCTACATATTGCTGTTATATAACTTACATTTTTAAAGCATCCTGGGTCTTATACGTGAATTATTTTTGGGTCTCATTACTATAATTATGAAGCCTTGGATCCTCTCACTGAGCAGCAGAAACAAATCACAATTTTCAGAAACGCAAAACCAGAGAATAAAAAGGGCTTCTTCATTGAATATTTGCTAATAAACAATACCTTCATTGTTTTGACTACTACTGACACTGAATGAGTTTGGTTGCAATGTTACTATCACTACCTGGCGTAATATGATTGCTTATATGATTTTTATATAAGCAATCATAGCACCCAAACAGAGTGATTTTTACTTTGTTAACGGTTAGGCAGTGCCATAAACTCCAGATAACTTGAATTCCCTATTACTCGGAACATTCGCTAAGTCGAACTGATACTGGATTCCCCTTCTCATATTCGAGCTGATATTGATATCTCGAACCTTTTCATTGGCCCCTGAAAGATTCGAGTTATTTAGAGTTTACAGTACTCGTTTCAGCGCCACCCAGTTGATAGCACAACTGGCTGTGCGATTCTTGTCAGTTCAAAGATAAACTGATGCTTGTGATTGCGTGATTCCCTTGCTACTACGTTAATGTCTGATAAAACCCACTGCGTACGAATATACCTTATGTTATGATAATTTGTTGCTTCTGATTACGCGATTCCCGTGATTCTATGTAATTATATGGGGTTGCCCAATTCTATTGAGTATAGCTTATGCTATGACTTCAATCATGATTGTGATTCTTGTGATTGCGTGATCCCGTTATTCTATGTTATTATCTGGGGTTGTGCGATTCGTATGAGTGTAACTTATGCTATGACTTCAATCATGATTGTGATTCTTGTGATTGCGCGTTTCCCGTGATTCTGCGTTATTTTCTGGGGTTGCGTGATTCTTATGAGTATACCCAATGCTATGATTTCAATTATGATTGCAAGGCTGGTGATTGTGCGATTCTCGAAATTGCGACCAGGAGATCTTTTTGTTGTAAGTTCCATGGCTTGTGCATGTGCAGTAACTATTTTATCCGAAGAAGCAGGTTTTGCATTTGTCTAACCAGCCCGCACACAACATTAGCCTTGTTCTTGACCATATTCGAATCGAGACAAAGGTAAAACAAACCGCATTGGCAAAAAACAATGATTTGAGTTGTAACGAATCTATCCTCTGCCAGATGCCACATGCCATGTTACAATGGTTTGTATTTTTTTGTATATGATACTTCAAATTGTTTGTTACCATGCGTACTATGACAATTTTCACTTTCTTCTTTCAGTCACAAAAATATCAAATTATGAAACTATGGATGATTATGCCTCATATGTTATCCGTTTGTAAGCAGAATTATACGTCTAACCAATGAACACAAAGAAATCAGTAGCTAGAATTCATGTTTCTGTTAAAAAACTTCGATTAAGTTGATTTGAAACGGTACAATAACCAACAGTGTTGTCTTTTAACCTTGAGAACAGAAAGAAAATAGTGAATTATATCCCTTATGTCTATTTGATTCTATTGGTAATGCCCCTTCACGGAAAGACAAGTAATTTTACAACCAACAATATAAGATTATTATGTATTTTAATTGCCATGGTTGTGTTGTTACCTGTCACAAAAGGACGATCAATTCATCGTGAATATTATTTGCTGGTTTCTCTTTTGGGTATTAATATGCCAATCAGACAACCTGCTAAAGAAATGTTAACAATTTCGAATAAGTACACGAGGAGTTAGTTTAGAGTGTTCAAAAGTTATTTGCTGCCTTGGCTTTAATTCCGGCATCTGACAATAAACAGACAAAGGGAACATATCAGCGAATCAGTCACAATCTGAGGTAATTTACCACTGCTAAGACTTCTGTAATGCACAGAGATTAGTTATTACGTGATATGTTCTTAATGACAATCAATCACTTGATTTGAATTTGACATGATATAATGTGTCATGTAGCGAAAGGTCTTCAGCTGGACGAGCTGATATTCTCCACAACGGTAGAGAATCGTTCCCTCAAAGTCTGATAAAAAAGATGGATGAGGTGCGACTTTCTTTTAAAGAAGCTACTAAACGAACAAAACACGTGTTTACTTTGCAACTGTGAGCAGCAATTTAAGGCAAATCGCATATCCTTGTGATTGTGAAGTTTGCGTTTTTTTATTAATTGCTAGAAGGCACCGTGATTGGGTGACCGTTTCCAGAGAGAACATGGAGCTGCATATTTCATACAGTCTCGTGAAAATTTTGTTTATGGATCATTTTCGCACTAATGCTAAACTTCAGATTCTATTTTCAACTATTTGACACTTCGTCTTATTATCGTCTACATCAAGTCTTTTAAGCCATAAAAAGAGAAACGATATTTAAGTCCTGAAGATGTTTTCTTTTAACTGAATTTATTTGTAGAATTTCGTAATTTTGATTGGAGAACAATGAAATATTCACTCTTTGGCATTGTTTGTGTGTTGGTAAGCAATTATTTGCTCATAAACAAATGCAGGCTAATTCCTCTATTTGCTTACCGAATGTTAATTAATGTTTTCTAAATCTTTGTGTTTACACCGGTGCACTTTCATTGTAGCTCGCTTTGAGAGGTTCACGATTGAAAATGAATTCAGCACTGAATGTATGCTTGTTTTTCAAACTATTATTATTCCTTGCTCTGTAGATTGAACAGTTACCCACCTGCCACGGCGTTTAAGTGGTTCCCTGCCTTCAGTGCAAGTTTGTGATGGCGTTCAAGTAACACCGATTTGGATAGTTTATCACAAAGGACTCAATAATGATCGCAGTCAAAGTGTATATCGTTAAACCTTGTCTTCAAGACTACACTTAAAAAAGAAAGCCATACTTGTCGGCTCCACCAAAAATTCATCACGTTGGAATGCTTACGTACAACAATACAAAAGCCCAAGATGATTATTTGGTCATAATTGGGCCAGAAGGCTCTGGTGAGTGTAAAATTCGCTCTTTTTCACCAACTTTTTATGTAAATCAACAATGCCTTAATGAAATTGTGCGTCTCATATTGTGTTACCAAACCACTGTCAAGCCGGTCACAAGTATTTCTAAATTTGAACTAAGTTGCGGTATAAACGTCATTTATATCCAATAATTGCGAGTAAATCACTTAAGCTTAATCTTTCAAAATCACCAAAGCAATGAACTAGCTGGTAGAAAAAGACCTCCGTAAAAGCGTCTATTAAGGGAGAACGCCGTTGCCTTGAAACATAAAAACCATTTCTAGCAGTGCTTTAGTGGTTTGGCTGAAGAAGGAAATAACTTACTTGCATGAAAGTTGTATTAGATGGTATTTCATGATGAAATCCGAAAAAATATATCTATTATTAAGATAAATCGTTTTGAAAGCTTTGCAATTCATTCCTGTATTTCGTGTTTAAAACAAGCAGAGAACCGACAGAAGTAGCTTCCTTGCGGGAATTTTCCTTGACAAAACATTGAATTTATGCCTTGGTTTATCTCTTTATTGAGGACCTAAATGAAATCCTAGGCAAAACAAAAGGCATGTATAGATTAATTTCGCTCGATAATCGTTGCTTTCAAAATATTACGCATTGTGTTGTCTAACGGGTTTCTATTCGCCCAGTAGTGGCGTGTTTGTGAGTAAAAAAGAACAAATGAGTTCTTTAGCAGGGTTGTTAGAATTTTAGCCAATAGAGTATATACCCTAGCAACTTGCTTTAACCCTGCTTTGTGCTTCGTAGCTTTACGTGAATATTGGCTGGAAAATTACGGGAATGTGCGAGCAATGTTTTTATTGCAATGACTGCTATACTTGATATGTGGATGACCTCTTTGCGCTTCATTTTTAAAATGCATTGAAAATGTTAAATCGCCTAATCGACCAAAGTGTTTTTTGCATGCAGTTACAAGGTTTTGGCCATTAAGATTCAGAAGAAATCATCGGTTATTCAAAAAATTGAAACTTTTTCCATGAAAAAGCCAGATGAATTTTCTCAGTGCCAACAGGTTAATCCTCAGTTGGAAACATTACAATTAAAATCTTGCTATCACCTCTCTTATCATCAGCTGCTCCTCTTTGCCAAAAACATCGACAAAGTAGTACATTGTTTGATAAACCCTTTCAAGCTAGAATTGCCGCTACCATGAAAATTCAGAGATTGTCGGAAATCACAATAAGTAGAAGATCCGAATTTATCGAGGGAGCAAACTTTTTCTCCAATAACCCTGTCTAGAGATAGACAACACATCTTTCTACGTTCTGTGCTCGCAAACAGTCAGTCCTTCCAGTTCATCTCGGGATCTTTTAAAGGAGACCGTTGGTTTTGTCTTTTTACAACATTATAGTTTTGATTGATAACAGTCAACGCACAGCATTCCAAAGCGGCTATTGGTGCTCGTGTGTCGTTATCCATCAAACCTTACAAAAAGGCAGAGACCCTTACCATTTTTTTGTTTCTTACCTTATCTTTTTTCCTTCTTGTTTCTTTCTTTTCTTGATCTCGAGTTTCTACTTCTGTATATATTTTCGTTAGTTTTTTAGTGCTTAAAACACGTTTCAAAGTTAAAATTTTCATTATTTCAAAGCTGGTTTTCAAGCTTAATGTCTCTTGAAATCAAGTATTTATTGGTTCAGACTTGTCATTGGAATTAATAATCATCATTTTTTCTGATTAGTTTTATCGTTACATTTAGTAACTGAAATCAGAATGCGCACACTTTCTTTGTATGTGTTGATGAAACAGTTTAAGCAAAGCTTAACCAATATTATATTGATGGCAAAATTTCTGAAGTTTTTCGCTTATGAACTTTGCATTTACTGGTCAAGAAGATTTAAGATAAACCACAAGACATTTTTCTTTTTCTGTCGTGATGGTTGCCATAAGTTTTATTGACCATTCATTCCACTGATCGCTGTCAAAGCCAATTAAGGCAGTTCTTTATAACGAACCTGCTGGATTCGTACCCTTAGTGTTCCCCACAAAATGATTTGCCCGCTTACGGTTGGCCGACGCTCATCCGAATGAATTCATTTCTGAGGAACACGGTTGTCTCTATTAGTAACAGTTTAAGCTTTATTTGATCGTAATATGTCTTATAATATTCTGTACACCTGCAACAATTATTTCCGACCGCGAATGAACACCTGCATTAGCTCTCAACCAGCCAATTTGATAAAATGGTTACCTCAAAGGAAAAATTTAATACACCGTTAAACGACTGGTATCATTACCGCTCAATATTGCTCCTTATCTCTACTTCCCCAACCTGTTGTTTTAGCAGGTCCTATTGTGGTTCTTTCTCTTGAAATTAAATGCATTTGTCTAACTTGGTGATTTCTATTACCTCCTAGCCAGCATTTGTTTACAATTTCGTCTGGATTCGGTTAATTGACAAGGAGTATTTCGTATTAGGCAAAATGTCTTATTTCTTGAAGGCTTTGGATGTTGATCTTTCACGAGCCCTTGCTATGCTACTCCAAGTAGCAAAGCAAAAACCAACAATTATTGCAGTTGTAGCTTTCTAACTAGGGAGCAATTGCCTCTCCAGCCCCAATGATTCTCTATTGTTTTAAACAATAAGGCATATTTCCCCTCGAAAAGGATATGGCTTGCGCACAAGAATTTTGCCATTGGATTGCACCTTGGATATTTCACGGATTCCTGCATATATTTTTGAGAAACCTTATGTCAATGACCATAGATGGATAGTATTCTTAAAAGTTTTATGGCCACATTTCTTCATCAAAGCCATCATTCTCATTATCCTCCATATTGTCTGACTTTTTCGACATTCTCCTTATCGTAAGTAGGAATATGTAAGCCAACGGTATTATGGATAGTACGTAGAAATAAACCTGAAATCAAACAATGGGACATATTCTACTCAACGAATTTAGAATTTCAATACTCTGTAAAACAAAGCGACCCGTCGAGAATAGACAAGGATGTGAGTACCCTGGGTATCAGAGCCTCGTGAATCCGGGGATACAGTATTGCAGACGGCTGCGGTGGCAAAGAATATTTCTCTGTGACAAGTTCCGAACTAAACCATGGAGACTCTGGCTTTGGGTGCGCTGTGAGCAAACTGAATTATTTTGAGCGCCGAACCATACCGGAGTGCTCGTATTTGGCACAACCCTATGCTTCCATCTCTTTGTAAGGTGAATTTTTAGAAACGGATGCATTTTTATGAATGCCGCCCATCTTTGAGGTTCAAGGTGCACCCCCTAACGCACGTGGCACAAGGCTGATGAGGCACTTTAGGTGAAATTTGAATTAAGGAGAGTTTCTTTAAAGACAAATTGTATGAGAACTATGAAAATACTCTCTACAAAAGGTTTTGAAACCAAGATGAATACTTTTGGTATCTGTTGGACTGACCTCCTTCTAGGAATAATAGCCTGCCAAGCGCAATAATCATGAGGAGACAAACAACAATGTCTGGACCAGTTTTGTTATGTAAATTGTTGGAAGCAGAATTACGCTCGCCAGTTTCACCATTGAACTTGTAATAACTGCTCCAAAATGAAGCTGCTGCACTTTCTTATTTTTATTGAATCCATGCTGAATCCATGATTATAATTTGCTGGCAGCGCATATTCAGTAATATACCGCTGCTTGAGTAGCAGCAAGGTTGGATAAGGGATATATTTACATTCTGTGTGTGCCTACAGAGAAATGACTGTCGTGAACATTTGATGTTTAGCTTGTTTATTCATACTGTAATACTGAAATTTTGTTATTGTTCCTCTTAAAACCGGATTGCCAGGGGATCAACGCAACTGAATTTCAAAACAGAAAGATCTCTGAGTAATTTCTGTCAAAATATTTGATTACATCCATGCAAGAAACAATCAAATTGCAAAAAAATTGCTCTACGTTCTCTGCCTGGTTTAAACCAAGGGTGCCGTGGAGAGTGGCTTTGGGAGCAGGGGAAGGGGGAGGGTTTCTCAGCCCAATGGGATTTCGGAAAGTTCAGCCCATGTTTGGTTAGCTAGCGAGCACATGTTTGGTTGGACAAATTCTATGTTTGCAACCCTTAATTATGCTTTATCCGGGAATGAGCAATTTCCGCTGAGTCTTTTTGAGTCGGTGAATAAATTGAATGATTTCATATTCACAACAGAGAACCTTTGATACAATTGCAAGTATACTGGGTGTGTATATTACGTTATATAACAATGTACCAAGCAGTTCATATTCATTCATGGTTATGGCTTTGGTTTCCTCAACCTCCCGACCCCCCTACCAAGATCTTCGCATTTTCTGACAAACAGAATTCCTAGCAAGTATCTTACCACGTTTATTGGCGATTTTCTTGTGGAAAGCAGATGTCCCTTGCAATTAAATATTTGAAAGACTGGGTTGAGATTGTGAATTTCTTATGACAAAGGAACAAAATATTATTTATGACCATTTCAGGAAAAATCATAAATTCCTCTTAACTCATTTCAATGCCATCGATTTCTATTTGGTCTAAGCCAATTCAATCATTGTAATGTTTTGATTATGTTTTGAAAAACAACTGCAAGTAAAAACTTTCATCTAATTGAATGGAATTAATTACGAAGCAAATGCATAAACATAAAACTTTTAGGTTTTGTTATTGTGGCTTTGTAATCACAGAAAGAATATCCCAGAAAAAGATTACGGCATTCGATACTGGAAGTGATTTTCTAGCTGCTTGTGGCTGTAGTAAAGAAAATTGCGATACACGTTTGGGTTTGCCTGTCGATACAAGATAATACACCTCAAGATAACGCTTGAAAATACAATTTGAAACAACAGCAACTTTAAAGGCAAAGTCACGTGACAGATAAAGAATATCTGCGACAAACTTAGTCCGTTACTATTTATAAGCTGTGCTATCATTGCAACAACGAATTCTATGACTTTATCTAATTAGAATTTAGTACAGCGGTTTGATTTAAATTGCATTTCAATAATACCTCAGTATAAAATTTTTATATTTAAATACATTCGGTCCGTTGACAGAACAAAAGTGCCAATCTGTACAACAAATACTTTTCAGTGCACGACAAGAAAAACCAGTTGCATCTCCTATCAGCATGTTCGAATTGTTAATTTTGTGTAACCTCGGAGGAAAGTAACCTCGAATCAACGACGAAGGGAGCATTTGAACATTTTTTGGGCGTTGCTAATTTGGAAACTAGGGGTGAATTTACCAAGCCCGTTAGGGACACCATCCAGAGGGTGGTTGATAATTGCTCAGATGAAAAATAAAGAGCACATTTTTGCACAATTTCAAGACACCTATCTACAATACTCATGGGTTCAAACGTCTCTGATAACATATACTTCAAAATATTTTTGGATTGAGATGAGCGTTGTTAATTCTTGTTGATTTCAGTCGATGCTTCTCCAAATTTCCAGCTTATGCAGTTGGCTGTTAAGAATTATGCCAATCTCGTCCTAAAAACGTATTCACTTTATTACTGACCATGCGCCCCAAATTTCAAAGCGTTTCCACTTTTCACAATAGTTTTCAATTTACACTCAACACACGTCACTTTTAAATAGAGGTTGAACATCCCTTCGAACATTTCCTTTATTCACAAATAATCCTGTTCTTTTAAATATGTTATTTATGACCAAGATATAATGAAAAAACTTAAATTTTATCCTGTAATGGCGATAGAAGTATCTTTCGTATCTTTTAGGGCCAAATCTCTACAAAATAGCAACGATAATATTGCTTTTCGTTGCTGCCGTCTCTTTGGTCGCATTGCAGATGTGCAGGAGAAGATACTTTGTTCTTGTGTGGCACTGGATTATCTGCAAAAAGACATTAGAACATCCAGAAGCAGTATCTGAAAAGAGAAAAAAAGTAGTTAGCATAGAATCCACGACATGCCCATCCCTGAGCAAGAGCGATGACACAGGGCCTGATATGGTGGCAAAGGAGACTCATTCTATGCTGGCTTTGAGAATCGATGATCACATTGAAAGTCCAAGCAATGGAACTAATTTTAGAAAAAAATTCAAAAGGAGTGATGTCTACAGAGAACCTGGGAAAGAGGTATGTTTCTTTTCAATTTACTTGAAATGCCTTGTCAGAGCTTGTCATTTTGCTCAAGGAGGTCTACGTATCGGTTTGAGCTCGAGGTTTGGCAAAATTCAAAACAAACTTAATTTTGTCTCGAGAACAAAATGTACCGAAGCAGTTATTTTCATCGTTTCCAGTTTTCCATTGTAATTGCACATTGAATAAAGTAAGTTCTTATGACAAAGAGTCAGATTGGCCTTACAGAAACTTAACGATTGTTTTCTTTGCTGTTGTCAAAATGATATTTTAATTTCCTCTTCCGATATATAGATTTATATACTTCTATAGAACAACAGCACCACTTTCGGTCGGAATTGAATATTCAGTTGAATTGAATTCACTGGGATATGTCGGAACCTTTGTATAGTTAAGCGGTCGTGTGCTGCGAACGTCTGCTGTAAACAGGTACTTGTTGAGGGCATTCGGTTATAGCGAGTTACAATATTTTTCGTTTACAATGAAACGAAATATTAATACAATTCACATAAAGAAACAATGGACGTGGCATCTGCAAAAATAATTGTAAAATCCTTTGCACACTGCTTGGTAGTAAGCAGCTGCTCTTTAACTGTGCAAAAACAGAGTCTTCTTGTAGCAAATGTATGGGTCTTTCTCGTACAATTATGTTGCAGATTATAAAAAGGTTTGATTTGCATTGATTTTTAGGTTGAAAATGACAAAACGAATGTTAGAAAAGTTGATACGGCCATATTATGCAAGTTTCTTTGCTGGCTATTTCTCCTTCATCTTTAAAGCCCTGTATACACTTTTAGCAACATTATGGACCTCATCACGAAGACGGTTAACTATCCCATAAATGATAGACAGAAACAACCCAAAATGACGAGGATCGATCTATTAAAAGAAAAACCCTATTTGAAAACCAGCGATACAAAGATTAAGTTTATCTTCTATTTCCTCAAGGCATACGGAAGTTTTCAGGTCGCCACCATTCCATATTGGTTTTGGCCGCTACGACGAGAATGTCTGAATAAAAATAACGCCAGAAGGAAGGAAAAATTGATAAGGAGGTTCATTTTAGTTTGATTTTGTATATCAAAGAATGGAATTAAGCAGTGCTGTTTTGTTTATCGTTATAAATTTATAGTAGGAGCCTTTTGCAAATCTGAATGAACATCTACTCAACTTCTCAACCATTTCCAGTAGGCTACTGGTGAAAAGAATCTATTTTTAAGCTAAATGAGAAAGGACATATTTTTGTACTAAATGTACGAGAATGGTGGTCAAGAGTTACCGTATTATAACAAATCAAGTCATATCAACACGCAAGAACTGTGGAGCATATTACAGATTGAATGGGCTGAAATGTTTTTGGGGGCTAAAGACCAAGAGCAAAGCGTCTTTTGTATGGTTCTGTAGAAAATAAAAACGGTTGGAGTTTATGTATGGCCGTCTCTGCGATTGGCGCCCCGAATGCCCAAACATGAATGGTCAAATGATGAGTGAATACTACCTTCAGTCTGGTGATTGATAATGGTCCATTATTCTGAGGACCATCTTTCCTTTGTTTGCTAATGTTTTTGCATGGTAACTGGGACAAATATTACTGAACCATTTATTCATTATAGCCGCAGACTATTTATAACTGGATTAATCCATTTCTTTGCGAAAAGTTTGGATGTTGGGATAAATATGTGCTAGGTAATCGTATAGCAGCTGCTTTCTATGCAAAATTCTTCTAAAATAATATAAGTTGAAATTTTTTAGTCTCAAATATGAAATTCGAGAGAGTATCTTGACGAGAGGTTCCCTAAACTACCAAACTTGTGACGGTTTCAAATGACTTTTTTTTCAGTTAATAACATTTCGAAAGCTAATAGTCCTTAAAGCTGAAATCTTTTTTTAATTTTCTGATAACTTTGTAAATGAAAAATTAATTATGTCAGGTTTTAATAATCCTTCAGCAACATTTGAATAATTCCGACATCAGTGAAATAATTCAGCTATTTGAACTCGGCTATGCTCAAACAGTTACAAAAGATTCGACAAACAAGATAGATAACAAGGCGGATAGAACTTTAAGTGGCTTAAAGTCATGCAGATCTTTATGTGGTCGCAAATAATCTACATTATTAAAAGCTTCATAATTGAATTTCATTAAATTGTGAAGAGGCATGTGTCTTTCGTATCAATTCAATGTTTTTGTACAAAAATAAAGTGTCCAATTCCATGCTGGGTAGCAAGCCTTTAAGTGTTCTGCAGCATAAGCTCTTTCACAAGCTGTTGTTATTGGTAGTGGTGCCATCCTAAATAACTAAAGCTGTAGGGTCTCACCTAGGCTTATAAAAGGTGCCACGCCCTTTACCCGACGGTCACAATATCAGAGAAAGGTATGGCAATAATATGGGGGTAAAGAGTTTGAAACAATAGTCCAGGAAAACAAAAAGAAATAGAAAACTCTGGACAAAATTTTCGAAATGCTAAATAGGGACGATCGACCTTTTTGCAGTTCCAATGGTAGTGACAAGAACACGAGAGAGATTACTCAATGGTGGCGCTAGGCACTAGGCTCTGAGGGGGGGGGGGCAAAATATTTGTTCAAGTCCACGCTCTTTTTATTACCAGAAAAAGCCCTTTTATCAAGAAGGAACGCCAATTTTACCTGAAGGGAATGCCCATGACTCATGTTTGGCTACGTTTAGGCAGATTTAAAATCATAGGATTACAACCCAAGACGTACGTCGCAAACATATTTCCCCTCCCCCAACATTTTCTCATCAAATTTAGACGAAATAAAGAATTGATCCTGCCTAGAGCTAGGGGGAGGTGTACCCCTCTGCCAACCCACCCCCATGGTGCAGCCACTGGCTGTTACTTTTATTTGCTGTTTTCTCTACGAAGGCGACAGGGTTACCACAGCTCCAGATGTATGCCCAGCATCACCAAAAAACATGTTGCGAGGCAAAGTCATTTTCTTTATCCAAGCCTTTACAAACTATAGACCTGTACTTTTACCTATAAATATTGATGCTTTCTAATCACGTGATAACAACATTTCAATCACAGTAGTCTATTAGTAAAATTAACATAACCTTCAAACTTTGAATTACAGAAATATGTATTTGCAAGAATACGAAAGACGCCATCTGCAAAGACATTATATTTCTGTTTATTAGCACAAGTTACTTACGTGATTCTTTAAGTATGACATACGGGCTTAAAGTTATTTTGAAACATCATGCAAACGTGACGTCATATTGTTTTGGTTATAACTTCTTTACAGCTCAAAGTGCTGCCTCTCTAGTTTCATTACGTTGAGTCGCATATCTAAAATATTTTCGCTTAACATAGATTGTAGACCAGATGGAAAGTTAATGAGTTTTCCCTAGGCACGCGATTGTGAACATTACGTGACGTTTGTCAGATTATATTCCACGTCAAAGTTTCAGCTGGTTGAAAAGTGATATAGCTATAATCTTTTAATAATCGAATTTATTTTTCGAAATGTGATTTCTTGAAAGTCTTAGGGGATTTTTCTAAGCATAGCAAGTATATAAGTAGTAATGAAGATAACTTTGTTTTGATAAAGATTTTTCCGTGGATGGTATTGAAAATCAAGAGCTAATGACAAAGAACATTAAAAGCTAAACGAATATGCATGATAAGTATTTTCAATTAAAGTTCTGAATAAAAACTGAATTAGCATGTATTTTTCCTGAATTTATGGATAGTGGCGAATAGAATATTTGCACCCAAAGCTTATTGGCAGAGAGATCTTTTGAACCTTTTTCAAATCCAGCTCCAAAAGTTCCCAATCCCCTGCGCTGCTAATCATCGTTCCAACCCGAAATTGCCATCTGCAGATCCAGCATATTCATTTACATCTCAGGTCTGCAAAGTTGGATTTCAAACTCTAATATTTCGATTTGCATAATCAAAAATTCTAATTCAAGCTTTAAAAAGGTTGTTTTTCTATCTCCAATTTTCGTTTCAAACATTTTGATTTATGGCGTCATCAAGTTTCCTTATCTTGCTTCGTGAGTTGAGGTTTCAACTTTAGATACTTATTTCCTCCTTCACAAGGGTTTTCCACTTTAATGAAGCCAGAAACAACATTAAAATTAGCTGTAAAGAGTGTATATCAATGTACTTGTATTTATGTTCTAAACGAAGCTTGTCCATTTTCAACAGCATTCAATATATATCCTTAAAATTCAATTACTAGGCTACCAAAAGTTGTTTGTACTTTCCGCTCTGTAATCATTGCTTTTGACACTTAATCCTAAACTAGTATTTATGTATATAGCATTTTAAACAAGTTTTGAAAAAACAATACTTAAGCTTTTTAACAAATTTTAGATATTACTTAAGCCTTCATCTGACACTTTTCTCAGTATAAAACCCCAGAATAATGATCGAAAATTGAAGATAAGATAGTGATACAAGTTTATAGGAGACTGGAATCTATTTCACATCAAGCTTCCTACAAATCCCTACAAATTCAGTACAAGGAAGGCACTTTTTCGCTCACCTTAACTTTATTGAACTTCGCCTTTGTCAGGAATTTGTAACATTTGACTACGTGAAGTTTTGAAACTCAAATTATTTTCCCTATAATCTGCTTTAGTCCAACTATTTCGTTCAAAAGCTGGAATTCATTCATTTGCAAATCCCGACGTCATCATTGGTTAAAAGTAACCTGGTATAAAAAGCAGTATGGATCACAAGACGCAGTATTAGCGGTTGCGTCATGATTAGGAGAATCTTCTTGCTCCTTACGTCAGTCCTAATCTTATGCTATATTTGGAGGACTCTCAGTGTCTATGAAATTTCTTTATTGACCAAGCAGCATTATGTCTCAGTGAAGTAATTGAAGAGTTACATGTTAACTGTTGATTTATCATAGGAAGATCAGTTTGAAAAAGCAGGTCTTGCTAATAGTTCTGAAGCAGCTGCTACTGCAGATCAAATACAAGCAAAACAACACGTGAATGACCACGGAAATGACGAATTTCAAAAAGACGAGCAATTAAAGTCTGAGACAAAGTTTCTCCAGTCGCAGAGACAACAACGACACCGGCGCAGTGGTGTATGTTTATCGATGCTAGGTAGAAACAGTCTGCCCCAAACGTTGAAGGAAGTGAATGCCGATGGACAGATGGAGCAAGCAAACGATTTGCCACTGCTTCAAGTAAATGGCATCGAATGTGAGGTGGATAAAGAATGCAGCGAGGCCAGCATAAAGGTTAGATGTCTATGGTCTAGTTTATAAACTTTAACAGTTCAAAGATACGCTTGTTTCATAAGGTTGAAGGCAGAAAGCCAAGCACAGGTAGCATGCAAATAGATCTATCTCGCTATCAATGTTTTAATGCTGGTAAAAGTATTCGAAGTCTACAATAAACGATTTCGCCCTTTATTACTGCTTTCGGCAGTGAGGAAAAGTAAGTAAAAGAAAATATTGTTCGATATTGTTTTGCCATAACATAACATTGTCTCATTACTTTTACACGGTCATAGTCTCAACGAAAAGATTGTAAGGAAAATCCTTTGTGGTGGACGAGTTCCAATGAAACTTTATACCACGAAAGAATTTAATCCCATTGGCTGTCTCACAGCAAATCGTCTGTTTGAACATAGACTCTATGCAGCTTTCATTCGTTTACCTTAGTTGTTCAAAAATTTAACTTCGGTGTTCAATACTGTTTTTCGATATTCTCAATCAGATTTCAGTCTGGCAATTGATCTTTTTAGAAACTTTCGTTTTGTATTCACAAATTCTTTCCTACTAACGTAAAAGGCAGTTGAGGTCTACTTGCGGATTGCACAACTGCTGCTGCAATTGACAGACAATTGCCAGACAGTGGCATTAATCAGCCATGTTCAAAACAGTATTTTATGAGCGGAAGTATCTTCTTGTGTTCTCGAAAGAACTAGCAGCTTTTAGGGCTTGAAACCAGTCTTACATATGATGAACTTTAAGCTCTTTCTATTAACCTAACACAAAGCTCGCGAGAAATACAATGCTGCTACAGGTTTAAGGACTCGTTTTCATTGCAAGCTTTGCTCATTAATAAACTTATGTTGTCAATCAGACTTTTATATGGTTTGTTAATTGGGCTGCAGAATAAAACAAAACGCAAAACAAAAGGTGCCATCATTGCTTTTGGTTGCAAAGAAGATTAAAAACAAGGATTATAAATTCAAATGGAATGCTACAAATGCTCTGACTATTCAAGTTCAAAGATTACAGAATATAATTTTATGTAAATTTTGCCCTGAAAAGTTTTCTTGTCTATTCTGACGAATTATTATTCATTTGCCAACACCCAATTCTGTTTGACGATAAAAATGATGGATTTCGGTAGGCTAGTTAGCTTGCTTCCCAACCTGTTATTCTCGATATCATTCTATGGCTTTGATTATCTTACCAAATGTTCACATATCCTTTGATATCAAGCTTTTGACGTTTACAGAATGGACAGTCAGCTAATTACCCGCCCAGATTTATGGATAGTTAAGCAGCATTAGTCTTGACAATTGTCAAGTGTTACCCGAGGAAAGTCCATGTCAGTCAGGGCTGTCTCTCTAGAACTCAGTCTGTTCAAACATAGTGCCTGTTGACAAAAATACATAAAACAGAGCAAATGTTCTTAATGAGATGTGCGTTTTTGTGGTTCTGTGAAGTTAATATTCTAATGAGTACCTTCGAAATCACCTGACGTTAAATTAGAAAAAGGATAGTGTATCATATCATATGATTTTTGCTAGGTCACAAGTCAGCCTCGTACAGAAACAATACATAGACGTGAAAAGAACGTACATTGGGAATAGGATGAGGTCATTATGCTTCATAACGAAAGTAACGGAAGCGGATATAGGTGTTTTAGATTCCTTAAAACAGAAATCGTAATCTATTACTGAAGGAGCCCCAGGGAAAGGTCCAACTCTAAATTCGGCCTTTGGCGTAGGCCAGTAGACTAGTGGGAAGGCCAGCGGACTGGCGGGAAGGCCAGTGGAGTGGCGGGAAGGCCAATGGAGTGGCGGGAAGTTCAGTGGAGTGGCGGGAAGGCCAATGGAGTGGCGGGAAGTCCAGTGGAGTGGCGGAAAGTTCAGTGGAGTGTCGGGAAGTCCAGTGGACTGGCGGGAAGTCCAGTGGAGTGGTGGGAAGTCCAGTGGACTGGCGGAAAGTCCAGTGGGGTGGCGGGAAGTCCAGTAGAGTGGCGGGAAGTCCAGTAGAGTGGCGGGAAGGCTAGTGGACTGGCGGGAAGGCCAATGGAGTGGCGGGAAGGCCAATGGAGTGGCGGGAAGGCCAGTGAACTGGCGGGAAGGCCAGTGGAGTGGCGGGAAGGCCAGTGGAGTGGCGGAAAGTTCAGTAGAGTGGCGGGAAGGCCAATGGAGTGGCGGGAAGGCCAGTGGACTGGCGGGAAACAACTAATTTGATTTGATTTTTAATTATTAATACAGGGTAATACATTCAGTAAATGAAAAGATAATAACTAAAGCTAAGCTTTTTAACATACAATTAAATAACAAAATTAAACCGAAATTAATATACAAGTTATTCTGGCAGGGTAAAAATAAAAAAATAAAAAAAAAATTTAATGCTGTACAAGAAGGAATAAGTGGGCTCTTTTCAGTGTTTACCGACCACCGTCCCAATCACAAGATCACTTTTTCGAAAATCTTGGCAAAGCAGTTGATCATTACAGTGAAAAATATGACAAATTTTTATTACTTGGGGATTTTAATACAGTAGAGACAGGTCAACAGATTCGTACTTTTATGAATAGCTATGACCTCAGAAATCTGGTGAAGGAGCCAACCTGTTTCAAGGCTGACAATCCACGGTGTATTGACCTAATCTTAACCAACAGATATAGGAGCTTCCAACATACCACCACTACCGAGACAGGTCTCTCTGACTTTCACAAAATGATAGTCACAGTTTTGAAAACGACGTACCAAAAGGCTGGACCTACTGTTATTAACTATAGAGAATATAAGAAATTTTCGGAGCAGACTTTCAAACGAGAACTTAAGGAAGAGTTGGCTAGCATTAAAACAACTGATTTAGACTACAGTTCTTTTCAAAATTGCTTTGAGAAGGTACTTGATAAGCATGCACCGATGAAGAAAAAATACGCAAGGGCCAATGATGGTCCCTTCATGAATCGAGTTCTTCGTAAAGCTACTATGCTGCGCTCTAGGTTGAAAAATAGATATAATAAAAGCCGCACAGCTGAACATTGGGAAGCGTTTCGTCGACAGCGTAATTTGTGTGTCAAATTATTTAGAACGGAAAAAAGAAATTTCTATAAAAATTTGAATACTTCTGATATTACAGACAACAAGAAATTTTGGAAAACTGTAAAACCTGTCCTTTCCGATAAAAGTCGATCGAACTCAAATATTACCCTTATCGATAATAATAGGATGATTTCCAATGATAAGGAAGTTGCAGAAGCCATGAACGATTATTTTATATCGATTACTGACTCATTAGGTCTGACAGGAAACAGGGAGGTTACCATAAGTACAAATGGTTTATCAGATCCTATAGAAAAGGCTATAATGAAATATTCAAAACATCCTAGCATTAGGAAAATTCGCAGTTTTGCTCGAATTAACGGCTACTTTAAATTCCAAGAGGTTACTGTGGAACAGATGCACTCTGAAATTGAGGGGCTTAATCCTAAAAAGGCAACAACCTTTGGAAATATACCCGCGAGAGTGCTGAAAAATAGCTCTGACATTTGTTCCGAATCGTTGCAGCTTATTTTCAATAACTGCATTCAAAATGGTGTCCTTCCTGACCTATTAAAACTAGCAGATGTCACTTCCCTCCACAAATCGGAGGAGAAAACCAATAAGAAAAATTACAGACCGGTTAGTGTATTACCAACTGTTTCAAAGGTTTTTGAGAGACTTATGGATAAACAGATTATTGATTATATGCAATCTTATTTATCGTCACTTTTATGTGGTTTTCGTAAAGGGTACAATGTGCAGCACGCATTAGTTCGAATGCTTGAAAAATGGAAAGCAAGCTTAGACAGGGGAGAAAATGTTGGCGCAATCCTTATGGATCTCTCGAAAGCCTTTGATTGTATTAAACATGACCTCCTTATAGCAAAACTAGATGCTTATGGATTCAGCCATGAAGCACTGTGTCTTGTTAACAGCTACTTGGAAAATAGGCATCAGAGAGTTAAGATTAATGGATCATTCAGTACCTACAAACAATTGTTCCTTGGTGTTCCGCAAGGATCAGTTCTTGGTCCCCTCTTTTTTAACATCTACATAAATGACTTACTTCTCTCCTTAATGGATACGGATATCTGCAATTACGCGGATGATACAACTCTATATGCGTGCGATAAAAATCTCAATAATGTAATTGCAAGGCTAGAGAATGACTCAAGTATAACTATCCAATGGTTCGCTGATAACTTTATGAAGTTGAATACAAACAAATGTCATTTACTTATTCTTGGCAAAAGTTCTAATCAACAGGTTAAAGTTAATGTAGGAGATTCTATCATAGAAAACTCGGAAGAGGAAAAGCTACTAGGTGTTGTGATAGACAAAAAACTCAGTTTTGAGACACATATCAGTAAAGTATGTAAGAAGGCTGGTAGCAAACTCACCGCCCTCGCTCGCATATCTGGATACATGGACGCTAATAAACTTAAAATCTTAATGAGAGCATTTGTAATTAGCCAATTCGAATATTGTCCACTAGTCTGGATGTTCCACAGTAGGCACTTGAATAGTAAGATTAATAGAATACACGAAAGAGCTCTGAGAATTGCATACAAAGACTATGATTCTAGCTTCAATACTCTGCTAGAAAATGATGGCTCGGTAAATATTCATGTAAAACACCTGCGAAATCTTATGATTGAAATGTTTAAAACAAAGGGAAATATCAACCCTCCTTTTATGAGGGAGATTTTCTGCGAGCGTCATGCTGTTTATAATTTGAGAAATAATAATGAATTTATGGTACCAAGAGTAAGAACAACCATTTATGGAACCGAAACTATCAAATATAGAGGGCAGCGTCTTTGGCTCTCTTTACCTCAGCACATAAGGAATGCTCAATCTATTAATGAGTTTAAGAAAGAAATTAAAAGCTGGAATGGCACAGACTGTACATGCAAACTATGTAGGATGTTCGTGCCACAGCTTGGTTTTTTGTAATTCTATCTTTTAAATAGCTCAGGTTTTTATAGTTTTTTAATGGATCATTTTGTATTTAAAATTTTATGTATTTAATCTCGTATGTATTTAGTTGATGTAGTAGTTTTAACAGTTGGCTTGGATTAGCTCATTTCTTTGTAAATAGCTATGTAGCGCCAACTTTAAATAAATTGATTATTATTATTATTATTATTATTATAAGAACTCTCACACCCTTTGATTTTTCAAAGATTGTTTCAGCAAATTTTTGAAAGTAGCCAGTAGTGAAGTAGTGAAGATTAGTGAAGGGGCATTTTTTATTTTTTACTGAAGGGGCAGTTTGAAAGTAGTGAAGAGGCATTTTTTATTTCAGTGCTTAGTTTATTCCACACATTCACACATCGATATGAGAAACTACGTTGCCCGTAAAAGGTTGCAAAGCGAGGAATTCTAAGATCCATGTCTGTATTACAGGAAGACCGTGAACTGTTTTCCGACAATTTTGTAAACATTAGCTGCATATATTCAGGAGCTAATCCATGGAGAGACTTTTAAACTGCAATTGCAGTTTCAAATTCAATCATTTCTTTTATAGTTAACTACCCTAGGCTTCCAATCAGTGAAAGGGGCGATGCATCGTAAGAGCTGTTAGTAGAATGGATTTTTATCATGTAACTAGCATGGATTTTTTAAATAGTTAATATAAGTAACCGGATAGTTGACATGGGCCTATGAAAAAAATTAGAACTATACAATTCAAAATGTCATCGAAGTGTCCCCCCCGAATTTACCCAAAGTAACGAGAAGTAGAGATATGACAATTTTTCATCTGTAAATTTGGTAGGAGAAATGGGAAACTACTTAGAAGGCTGGTATCCTAGTTGTTGCCAAAATGATGCAGAATGTTTCTTGCAAAATATTCAGGTTTCATGCTAACATACTCCAATTTTAAGGGTCTTGATCATTGAAATGCAAAATGGAAAATTGCTTAGGAAATCTTGCTGATTAAAGAATTCGGCCAGCTTTCTTAAACTCTCAAAAAACGCTAAAGATGAAGAAAAGTGCTAAATGCGTAAACCAGTTTTACCTAAAAATGAGCCAAATTGGATAGAATTCTTTAAAATATTAACTAGGTTTTGGTTGAAAGTTTTAGAAGATAATATTCACCCGTTATCGGAAATCTTCTGTAAACGTTTGCCCTTGAATTAGATTCGCTGAATTTTGGAATCGATTAGCTATTCTGCCCACTATCAGGAAATGCCATGAATAATAAAAGTAACACCACAATGCTAGACTTTTTCTGAGTTTTTGAGGCAATCTTGCAAGACATTTCCTCTACTTTTTATCTCATTACTTAACATCCTTAACGTTTTGAGGTATGGAGCTCACGAATTTAGCATCTTCTGCAGCAGAAATATCTACTTTTGGCTAGTAAGCGTGTCGTTTTCGGCCCTTACTGTTATTTGTTTGATTAAGAGGCAACTTTATCAACCTAGTGAGGAAAGACCTAGTGCGCTATGCCTTCCTGTTAATGAGTACCTTCTACCGTGTAATCAATGTTCTTAAGATTTTACAAAGTTCTCAAGAGTCATTAATCGACCAGCAATTTGAACTGTTGACCTCCTCTAGAACAACATCAGCCAATGATTTAAGAACGTCGATCAGGACAGTGTTTATAGATCTGTCTTTGAAATAAGCATAACTGTGCATCCTCCGAAGTCACATATTCATTTCAACTGACCCCTTTAAGCATCAGACTCTGAATGTACATATGATACATAATTTATAAGATAAATACCCCATACAATGCAGACCTTTTCCGTTACTAGCCTTTTTTGGTTCGAAGAACCACAGATTCTTCTACAGTACAAACACAAAGTACCAGTGGGCAAGATATAGAATTCAGCCATGAAAATTCTTTTCTGGACATATGCGTTTGTGCATTCGACTCAACACTGAATCCGATACAGGTTGGAAAGTGGGCAGGGGGGAAGCCAAAGTAAAATTTAACACTCATAACAAAAGATTTTGGAAAAAGCTCTATTGCTTTGCATGGCCCCCTCCTCCTTCGTTGAAGGCCCTGAAAAATCTAAGTCGTACGTTATCGGTTCTACATTAGCTTTCTTAAAATTGCCATGTTGTCACGAGAAAGACCTTTTTTTACATTTCAAATCTGAGTTATTCAAAATCTCTCGCAACTTTTGTAGCAAATTTTCAAAGTTAAAAGATTTTGGCACAAGAAGCAAACCGAAATTTGAAGTTACAATTTATTTCTATTGTAGTCTGAAACAAAAGAAGAAGAGGATGCAAATGATGAAGGACAAATTCAGTGTTCCCTTCGCTTTGATAAAGAGAGGTATGTTTGTGAAAAAAAGAAACATATGTTGGTCCCAAAAAGTCTTTCGAATTTTTATTGATTAGAATTGTGATCTCGGTTTCTTTACCTCACAAATTCGTAGCATTGGAAAAATCCTGCAGACTTTTCTCAAAATCACATCTATCAAGGCAATTCTTAATTCATTCTTTCAAAAATGTTATAAAGTGTAATGTGCTAATACAATTTACATAAATATATAATATATGATATATTTATAGATTATGTATAATTTTCTCGCTTTTCTGCATATATATTTGATGCTTGCGAGTATTTATAAAGTTATTTTATTGAATTGTTTTATTGATTTGTCGGTATTAACTTTGTTTTAGAAACACCCTTCTTGTGCATTCGGTAACTGTGAAAGCAAACATTGATCCTGGAACACCAGGGTTTTTTGTCGAGGTGGCATTGTTACCAAAGCAGAGGATCTCAGCAAAATCTCGTGTTTATGTGACTACAGATACGGATATCAAAACGACACTGAAAGAAACATTTGAACTCAGCTGCCTCAAACCAGATCTAGAGCAAAATTCTCTATTTCTGGCTGTCAAGCCGATTTACTCTGAAGTTGTATTATATGCAGAAACAGATCTGAAGGACCTTTCTCTGAATAATGAAAGAGAGATAATGCTTGGTGGCTATTTGAAAAGCATGACGGCACATTATTCCTGATGAGATAGGCAGATTTGGCTCTGGACAGGAGTGACAGACTTTGAGCACCCAATGCATTATTCAGAATCTTCAAAAGATGTGAACTGAGTGGTCAATGCGTTAAACATTTATGTAGCTTTAATTAGTTTTCACCAAACACAGGCCTTACCTATATCGTGCTGAAAAAGCATGCATCATGAATTTGTCCATCCGTGATGCAGCTTGCTCTAGATAAAATGGCCAATGTCTAAAATACCTTCAAATGCCTTTGCAATACTTTTTCATACCATGATGAATCCGCTTGTGAAGCCAATTTAGTGATAAGCCCTTATTTCATTTTTATAGGCAACTTTGGCTATTGCTGAAGTAGCAAAATATCACCGAATAAAATTTTCCGAACAAGCAACTTCCATTTTAATTATGTATCTTAATATATCTAGGTGTATTCTTTGTGAAATAGATTCCATAATACGGCTTTAAACCAGTGCTCAATTTCAGTTTTAGCCAGAGACAGCGGCAAGATGCAAGACGGCAAATTTTTGGCAAGTCCAATAAATCCTGTTAGAAGTTTTGAGCGTTCTCTATACATAAGCCCTTAACCTTTCTCTTTTTGCCCTACCAAATGGCATGCTTTAACAAAAGTGACTACTTTCCATTTTGAACCATAACATTACAAGTATCATAGATTGCCGCGAATATCACCCCACAGCTAAACCCATAGTGACACACCCATCTATGGAATAGTTTGGAACATATGCCTCTCAACAATGATAAACCATGCAGTCAGTCTATGCGCAGCAATGCTTCAGAAACTAAATGACCTCTAATGTCAAACTTCCATGCAAATGGAGATATTCTACTCTGTATATTTAATGATGAATTTATAACTAGTATGCTTGAACAACGTGTGCTCAGATATACAATAGAGTTTTATATTTTATTATTTCATGTCGTGTAACATTTTAAATAATAACCCAGTCAAAAGAGCGCTTCTTCATCAAAGATCTCTGGATCTTCTCTTACTTATAAATATAGATGTGCATATTCACTGATTTGCCTTGATGCAGCAAAGTTGAAAAACTGCAATGCAAATACGAAAACTGAGTTTTAAAAATAGCTTTGAGAAAAGGAAATGTTTTAAACTGACACTCTTCAGAGTAAAAAACGTCAGGATATTGATCGAAAACTCTAGGCTAGGAAATAAACTCTAGGCCCAGTTTAACATACTCAGCTTACTCAGTTGTGGACCAAATTATGCCAATCTAAAAAATTGACACCATTTGGCTCTTCCAAAGGACAATCCATAGAATAAAATGAAAATGAAAATGATATCATTGATGAATCGAGGTATGCCAGCTTTCCTTTTCTTTATCTGTCATTTTTCAATTCACTGCCTTGAAATTTAAAAGGTGAAGAAAACATTTTTAGTCAAAATAATATCTCCGCAAAGAGATCCCAAATGTTAACGAAACGATAATTTCATAACCGTTTTCACTTAATTGTCTTTACTTAAATCTATATAGCATGCTATCCTTCGCTAATAATTCTTATTCTAAAATTACACTTTATAAACCAAAATTTTGGTGTTATATAATCTCCATGATATAAATTTAAGAGGTGTACAAAACTTCACCTACTGTTGTCCAAATTTTCACTTACTCTCAGTTATACAATCATATACGTTCCCTTCACTAAAATTTCAACTTCTCTTGCACAGTATTTCAGTTACTGAGCCATGTTACATTAATGTGCTTTCCTTTCTCTGAAAAGTCTTCAACTACTCTTGGCCAATATTTATATAGGGTGCTTTGAGCCAGCTCAGTTCTAAAACACCTATTTATCGTTTCCTATGTTACCACTGTAAAATAAAACATAGCTAGAATTTATATAAATGTTTACCCTAGTAATGTGTTGCTTCTCGATGGTCCTGTTCCAGCCCACGGACGCCGGAACGACCAAAGGGCAAGGGGTAGGCTTCTGTAAAGGGCATTTGGAAAAGCTCCCAGCTTCTACTAATTATTTTGCAAGTGTCATTATATTTCAATGTTCTGTAGACATCTTGCAAATGGACTAACGACTGTCATAAGAAATTTTCTTGCAAGTTTTGAGAAATTTCGTCATGAATAAGACACTACAGTCAAGTTTTCATATGAATCTCTTTAATAATTGCTAAAGATCGATGTCGAGGGCACGGTAGTGGAAATATCACTTGGCCTCCTATCAATGGGCAAGGGAGTAATAGTCTCCCTCCGCCCCTTCTCCGGCGTCCCTGATCCAGCAAAAAACCCACTGATCTAAAAAAAAGTCTTTTTTTAAGATCAGTGGAAAAACCTCACTGGCTCCAGTGCAGTTCAGCCCTAGTCTCAGTTTCGATTCAACCAGGAATCCGAGGCATTCTTGTTTTGAGATCATGGCGACCACGATCGATCGACCTTTTCGTCATAAATGCCTAGAAGCTAGATATTAGTTTTTCAAATAGATTTCTACTACGAATAAGATTATGAATCGTTGGGCAAAGATGTTGCAAGAATACTTTTAAGAATAACTTTGACCTACTGCGAATGACGAAATTATAGACCTCCGTAGGTGAGAAGATCTTGGGCGACAGGTTAACAATTTTCGTTTCGCAGCTGCTACCGATGGAGAAAAACATTGAGAAAGCGCCACCGTACATCAAACCGAAGAACAAAAGATTGTCCATAAGAAGAGTGAAAGACAGAAGGTATTCGTCACATAATATCGATGGGGAACTTCCCGATAGTGCTATTCCGAGAGATGTTCAGCGGAAGCTGCGAGGATTATTTTCAGAAATCGAGAGAGAATTTGAAAAAGTTTGCATCGAAAATGCTGAACGTAAGTTAGCATGTTTGAAAATAACTCGTATAATCTCTTCAATGGCTTTAAGTCTTAAAAAAACTTGCCTGCCTCTATATATGTTGCTATCTTTTTTGGGAATGTTTTTTGGCCCGCCTGAGGTAGAGAGATTGAAATCAAGGTGGGGCCATCCTCATACAAGTTTCTTTGCTCTTTATCCTTTTACTAATTGAAACAGATAGAAGCTGCTCTTGTAGCTCAAAATCTGAATAATGTAGCTAAAAACAAACGATATAAATTTTCAATAGTAATAACAAGACATACAAATTATGGTTAGAGGTATATTTATATTAATGCCAATTTGCTGAGAAATCTTAATACATTAAATTCCAAGACATTAAATTTTAGTTCAGTTTCAGTGTAGTGTTGCTACTAAATTCCACTATTACGTATGTTCTTCTGTTTTTTGAGACTAAAAGCAACTTCAAACACCAAAACACAAAAGATTAAAGATGATAATTGATGAATTAAAGAAATGTACACAGAGAAAAATATTGACCAGAGAATTCCATGAAGTGGATTCTCAAAATGAAGGTAGACCTCACTGTAGCTTAGACATTCAAGAAAACAAAGTTATTAATGATTCAATTAAGTTTAGAGAAAATTGAAAAAATCGTGACTTTCTCGGCATAACCATCTTCAGATTGCACCCACCCACCCTTTCAGCAGTTCCTGGGTTTGAAAAGATAGTAACATATTCATTTTGTTTTGTATTACCATGTAGACTTAAAGCCAATATTATTGGGATTTATTCATGTTGAAAAGGTATCATCGTTGTGATCTTGGAAAACCATGAACCCAGAAAATTATGAAAGCAAATTTGTGATGTTTCATATTCATGAGATGTTTTGTCGACATATCTGTATGCAGAGTTTAGTGTTTTGATGAGAATAGATCAACCAGCTGAATAAGACCTAACTGGGAAAATGTTTTAACAGCTTCAATAGAAAAAGTCTGAAAAGACCTGTAATCTTTATAATTGATTATATCAGTGATAAGTGACAAGGTGTTAACACCAGATTGGGTGTCAACATAGATAAATTTGCAAGTTCTTTTTGAGGAAGCATAAATTTCAGACCAATTTACAATACAAGAACCTTGATTTGATATGGAATGTCTAGAAACTTCTCTTGCTTTTTCAGTTCAAGCCAAAATTGAAGTTGTTACTGCAAAGTACAAAGCATTTCAAAGTGGAGATAAGTCTGATCCTGGTGCAGATATCTTGCAAGACACAACAGCTGCTGTAAGGTCTGCTAATAAAAAACCATGTAAGTAGCATTGAATCAAAAAGTTAAACTCCTCATAAAGTTACATTTTCTTTTATTTCAAATTTGTAACTATTTATGCATGTAGTATAAGAAGTGAAATTTTCAATGCCTTCAAAATGCTTCATGTCCAAAATATTTTAGATAGTTTGGTGGTAAGCGTGTCATTTCAAATTAAATAGTATATCATTTCAAATATTGATATGCAGACACCACACAGTCAAAGACTGCTTTGCAATTAAACTTCCAATGGATGTATATTCATAATATTTATCTAAGTAAATGGTGATCATTAGGCTTGATAAATATTGTCATTAATCATGGAGTCTAAAATATGTTTAATATTTTTTTGAAGAAAATATTGAGTACATAGTACTGAAAATATTTCTGGTCTCAAGGTAGATTAAGTCAGGAAGGTTATGTTGGGATGCATTAAATTGTTACCTTACACCTTTGTAAGCAAGGACAAATTATTTTTTGGGATAACTGTTTTTTTTCTGTAGTTATTGACAGAAACGATTAATACAAACTCTTACAGTTTTTTATAATACTTGTGAAAATTTGACATCTTATTTTGCCTAACCGGAAGTAAATTGCTCATATCATACTTTTTTCAATAGCTGCTGGACAGTTAATGTCTCAAAAGCTGAAAACAACATATAAAGTTTCTACAAGCAAGGTGACATTCAATTTGCAATCTTTGCTATTAATTTCTATTTTTGGTATGAATTGCAGATCACTCAGGTCCTGATAACTATCTAAAAGAAATATTTTGAACTTCTTTCTATGATAAAACCTTTTCTAAGCCACATAGTTTGAGGCAGGCTATTGTACATGTATCCTTCTGGACTCACATGAAAAGGCATAAGAGTGTTTTCTATTCCACTCACAAATAATTGATTGGATATTGGCACTGTTTTGGCCAGAAACCAAGACTATCAAGAGTAAATCTTTGTGGATGCACTTATAAGTCAAGATGGATTTTTGTTTTCAGAACTTTATCATGTTTCTGTACTAAAATGAGTAGACCTTTGTTGATTTTGAAAATTGCTTAGCTGCCAAGGATATTAATTACAAACTTTTTAAATATAAGGGCACAAGACTGTTTGGTTATTTGCCTTAAAACATGAAAAAAGGTTTAGAAAGAAACAAAAAAACAAGTGATGAAAAATGCTGTGCACTTTGATGCAAGTTGGTGAAGTAAATTCAGAGTTGACATGAATTCAAAGGAATTCCAGGCTTAATATGAAACAATGTAGGAATTATGCCTCATTCAAGAAAATATTTTGACACAATTTACTTGCATCGCAATTTATAATATTCCACAATTTAGCAAGTGGCAAATTGTTTCAAAACACAAATTCAAGCTGCAAAATTTTAAAGCCTTCAAAAATATATAATTGCCAAAAAGAAGGAAAGGCTCAATGAGCAGCTTCACAAGGTGAGATATAAGAGAAACAAATGTTGAAAGGGCTCTTCAGATTCAGAATAATCTGCTTCAGATTTGAGAGCCAAAAATGAAGTAGAAGTGGTTTTTTCATTTGTTGGTTGATGCCATCTTGTATTTTTATTGCCTGTGATTGATAATCTTAACATTGCTATTCACAATAATATGCCTCGACATTAATATGTATATATTATAATGCTTCAAAAGCATTATAAAATAGACATATACCATGTCATTACCTGTCAAATTCTATATTGCCAAACTGGTATTAAGGATAGATAGAACTATTCCAAGAAGTCAACTATGGGCCAACTCAAAACCTAAAAGTCAATTTCAAGGCTCTGATTATCATTGATTGATAATGTTGTTTTTTATTTGCATCTTTAGATTGTATCTAGTTTAAAGATACCAAATCAGGCCATAAATTTGGAATGCCACCAAATTCATGAGTTTTGTGGACATAAAGATGGTATATGGGAAGTTACATGCTCAAGGCCAAATCTGCAACTTATTGCAACAGCATCAGCAGGTTATTTTTATTAATTTTTTATTATGATTAAATACATTAATTGAATTTTAACATTTTAACTAATAATTAGATCAGCAATGTATTTTTTCTAAAAACAGCAACAGCAGTTTCAAATAAAAAGTCCACTTGGTAACTTGGTAAGTGTGGAAAGTCCATTTTAGCAAATCTGAAGCTGTTTTTCCTAAGCTATGTCAGTTTCTTTTATGCAGATCAGGCTACGAAATGCTTTCCCTGTTTTTAGGTGAGCTTTATTTTAATATAACACAATCACATAAATCACAAGGAAGAAGCTTAACGTGTGCAGAGTACCATCTAAGATATAATCTTTGTTAATATTTATAAGTAAAAAACAAACTTATATGCAATTTAAAGTTCTTTGATAGGAGAAAGCTGCAAACATAAGGGGGTCGTGTAAGATCCCAGATCTTTTAAAAACTTGGTACCCAATCCCTTCTTTGTATAAAAAAGGGGTTCCTTAATGTTTGTTTGAATTGGGTCTCTTGCATATAAATTAGTTTTATTCTTCACTTTTTTCAGTTCTATGATAAAACAGGCATTCAAAAGAAAGATTAAAATGCAGTTGCATATCGTGATAACATAGGAAGACTTTCCGACATTCTTAAAAAAGATCCTTTACCTTCTTTCTGCTTCATATCCGCTCGAAATTATTCAGAAGATCTTTGCCCCCAAATAGTCCTGTAATGGCCAGATTTTCCGGTAAAATCTTCCCAAAGAATCTGGCCGGATTCTATGAAAAATCAACACTGCAAAAGCTTCGTATAATTAAAACTTTTCATGTGGGCCCTTATCTATATCTCTTACCTATAAGGACTCAGACTCAAGTTGCTATTAGCATAAAGGAAGGGTTAGTACGTAGCAACAGGTTTATCTCCAACAGAACTTGAAGGTACAGAAAAACTCTTTTCGAAGTCTTCATCAAAACTGCTTTATGATACCTCAGGACGGCTACCCCCATGATCCTATCATAACTTTTTATTGCCCAAACATCCCTTTTTCATGTAAAAATTGTTATCTATCTTAAAAGCGAAATGTTCTACAGCCAGTGTCGTAGCCTTGAAGACAAATTAATGTGCTATTTTGTCTACCGATAGACGACTTTACTGACATAGTAATGATTTTGTAGACCATCTGAAGATTCAGCGACCAACTCTTCGAGAATTTCGGGGTGTCACACTCCCTAACATCCCAGACTGGCTATGCCCCTGTCTACAACTGTCTAAATCACACCCAACGTTTCCCGTAAGTTGTAAATGAAAGTTCTCATAGCAGCTTGAAATATAGATAGGTTCACAAATAGAAAACAACATGGCCAGTGGTCGTGCTTTAGTAAGAACCACTCTTTGAGAATGCATCAAAATTCAAGCTCATTTTTCTATGCCTAAGTACTTCTCATGGCAAATTCGTCAGAATTCTTGGTTAGAATTGAGGGTGTCACCCCTGCCACCCCCTTCTGACCTAATTTGTATTCTGTGTAGTGAGTGTGTGATTTGATTTGCATTCCGTCCTTTTCTGGAAAATTCATAAAATTAAAAAAGTGGAGAAAGTTTAAAGATATACGAAAATAAATGAAGAGTTATTGTTAGTAACAAAATTCGCAAGGCCCCCTCTTTGTCAGAAAAAGTGGTAAATTGCTGTTCAACAGTCAGATAGAAATGGCAGAAAATTGACAGTAACTGTCATCGCTATCTTATGCTTTGAAGTTTTGCCCCAGTTTTAATCTTGTCGAAATTTTACAAGAAAAAAATGCTTTTTTGATGACAAGCAATTGTGAAAACGTAATGTATACTTTCAAGGAAGAAAATGTCGCGGGAAGAAAAAGCTGCGAGGAAAAAGTCGCTACTTTCGCAACTTTTCTCAGAATCCGCAACTTTTAAATTCTTTTTATTCGCATCATTTTTGCCTGCGACTTTATGATTTTCGGCAGAATTTCGTTTTCGTTTTACCTGTTTACCATATCTATATACACACACACAACATATCTATTTAGATGCCAATTTAGATGAAAAAGAAGACGATGAAGACTTTTGTGAAAAATTAAATAGATATTTAGCGAAACTGGTTTGTTAATGATTGTTACATTCTAAGTTTCTGACAGAAAGTCCAGTCGTTTCGGAAAATTTCGCAATGTTTCGGAACACTGGCAATATAATACAGGGCGGTCAGAAAGCTGGTGACACAGTGGTGACAGGGGGGAGGGGGGTTTAAAAATCTTCAAAGTTTAGGTGATGTCGTTTATGTATGACCCCTTATTTGTTGTTAGCAAGATGTCTCGACACAGCAGGCATTATTATAAACGGAGTTTATTGCAAACCTGCCCCGCTGAATGAAATCCGATGCCGTTTAAACTAATCCTAATCCTGTGAATCAGTGAAGAAAGCACGACACCAAATGGACGTAACAATATATTTATATTTTCCGCTTTTTTTACTTGTTGCTCAATTTTTCCATTTTTAAAAACAGTTGGTTTAGTTAGCCTACAGGCTACACAACCAGGACTTGAGGGCATCGTACATCACAAAATTTTTAAATTGCTTTTTCCCTTAAAATTACAATTCAGTCTTGTAGGGGCGTCTTGCCCCTTCCGCAAGCGTACAGCCAAAATTTAGATTTGTCACATTTTGGAATTAGAGTCGTCTTGTTTAGAAATTTTTTTCGCGAATTTCTTTACCAATGCAACATATTCAGAAAAGGAGTAGCGGTTGGCCTCTCTGCCCCCTCATCCGACTTCACTAGGCTCTTCATAGGATTCAAACCTATAGGAAAAAGTCACAAAATAATAATTTTATCAGGTATCTTATTTTATCAGTATGTCATTAGAGGCAGTCTGTCCCCTATTGTGCTCAACTTCATTTTCAAGGGAGTGAAATTCACGCACCGTTGAGCTTGATCGATAATTAAACGATTTAAACCAATCAGAGACAATTTTGATTCCAAGAGGTTTTGAATCAAATGCCTGTGTTCCCGTTGTAGTGAAGCTGTGACTAGAAAAATGTGGCTCCCTGTTTGGCTTCTACGACAAATATGTCAACAGCGAAAGGAAATGCTTCCATTATCATTATTCAATTCCAGTAATTAAATCCTCTTGCCATTCCTGATAGTTTTTTGCTCGCAGTTTCAAATATCGCCCACTACCACAGCTAGGCCAGCCTAAGCAAGCATCGTAATCCGTTATCCGTTAAGGCGGGAATACCTATTCTCCGTATTAGCCAATCCTTGAGGGAACAGACTGCCTTTAAGAGTCCTTACCTCATCTATGACAAAGGGTAGCATATCAACTGGTAACTCGCTTTCTGTTGAACTGTTACTGCTATACGAAAGGGCAACATCATCTTGCAATTGTCAATCTACAGTAGTCCCTGTTAGTAGCACACTGCATATTGTCGAGGGTTTATTAGATTATATAGCCAGTTGTTTTGTCTTTGCCCCTACCCAGGAACAATGTCGAGAAGAGAATGTAGATCGGGAGATGGAGAATTGGTGTTTAGGTACACTATGATTACGCTACTTGCATTCTTTCACCAATTTTGATTTGGATCGAACATCAATTTCATCAGAGATGTTTCAGATTCCGACTCCTGATCCGTTTCTAATTTGCTCAAAGGGTCCCTAGTATCCCACAAATCCCCTTATGTTGACTCTGTACCGTTCTCAAAAAATTATTTGCCAAGTGACGTATTCCTTCTGCATTCAGATGTAGATGGTTCTATATTGGTTTGGATCTATATTGGTTTTATCTATAAATGGAAATTCTTCACGTGCGCACAGCTCTTTATCCTTCCATTAGTTATGCTGACATTTGCATTCCAGCCGTCACCCCCGGGTACAATACTTCAGACAAAGACATTATTTTCTTTATTTTTGTCATTGCTTTGGCTAGGTCAACTACCTCTTCTGCTATTTGCTCTGGCGCATTTCCATTCTAGCATAATCAGTTTTACAATGTAGCAAAATCTGCTTTGGGGTTTTTCATCGTAGGTTACAGTGACTATTAATGTGATCTGTTGTCGCTTCATGAAAATCATGCACAATATTTTCTCAGATATTTCTATTGCTTTACTCATCTTGTGAAGGATCGTGAAGGTTTTTTTCACAGCGTAATCCCATGGGTCCTTTTGAAATATTAAATACCATACCAAGGTGTTGGAAACATTTCGTCGGAAACATTTGTGCTTACTTCACGATCCGACGTCTATGTTCTGCAAAGTACAAGTCTTTTTTCATCAGTCTTCATTATGCTGTTGCCATCACGCCACTTTCCAAGCCTATGAAAAGAAATTCAGCATGAAATGTATAACAAAAGCTAAATTTTTAAAATGGGCCGATTCGCTTCTTGACGGTCCAAACAACGTGAAATCTTCAGCATAGACTACTTTCAACTTGAAGATTCCGCTGCTTATTCTATGATCCATTTTTGGAAAATGTTAAGATAAAAAATTGCCCGGAAAAGAGAATTAGACTAAAGATCCAACTTTTGAACAACGCACTAAAATGCTTCACGATATTTTTTGCCTATGATTTTTTGGGACACTCGTTATGCTAGCGATACATTGGAATGGGCAGGACGAGAAGTGGTCGGAGGCCCCAGGTATATCTGGAAGCAGAGGCTTCCCCAGGAATTTTTTTGCAAACACGCCCTTTAGATTCACTTGAAATACATTTCAGAATAACATTTCTTGCAGTTATTTTCTTGCAATCGTTTAAAACGTTTTGCTACTTTTAAGGTATGCTTTTATTACGTTTGATGTGATTCCAGTCTTAAAATTGAATTCATTACCTTATGAAAGCCCGTAGACTTCGGCTTATTCCTTGGAAATTAAGCAATGAAAGGATTTATCGCATTATTCTTTTCTTCAATTTTTTTTTAT